AACACATTTTGGCAAAAGCGAATAATTTATTTTCACATCGCAAGCTTTCAGCGCGGCAGGCAATGTATCATTGAATCTTGGCATTTTGACGAATTTCGCTGTAATCTACAAGCAATTATGAAAACACGATTCTACGAACTGCAATCAAAGCCGCCGCGACGGTAGCACATGCATTGGTGGAAACGGAATCAGCGCCTCTCTGAAGGCATAGCCGGAGTTCCACTTGTGAGTATGTGAAATGGTATCTTCTTATTTTGAAGGCGTTTTAAGCGCGTGATGCTCACAGAAACGCTAGCTTGGCGTTGGCGTTGGCGTTGGCGCTTTCGCTTTGCTCTTGGCGGTTGCTATGCTGAGCATCTTGAGATCCTTACTAACTGTCGACTCCACTTTAATAGATAATAGTGCTATGTGAAATAGTTCTTTTAACTCATAAGAACTATATTTAACTCTTTCTACTGCTTCCAATATTATTCGAACCAAAATATTGAACTTGTTACTTGACAATTAGTTATAAATATACCCTCAGTTGCCCGAGACTTTTTTATTCCCTGAGTTCAGAGTCGGGTCAAATTGACCCGCTTGGTAGTCTTCGAAAAATTCCCTAACACGCCACAACTCTCTCCAAAATACCAACTTTTAGACGTGTGCCCAATAGGGGTTACTGAGATTAGGGCGCTTGAGAAATAATAATAAAACTTTATTATGCTATTTTTTTTTAGAATTTAACAAAATTATTTAAAGATTCTTAAAATAAGTGCGAACAAACAAAAAATCAAAGTAACAATCATAATATAACCACCCGCTAAAGTTGGAACCCCTAAAGATAAGATAAAGAAAACCCTTAAAAAAAAATGATTATTGATATGGACACGTCAAAGCAAAGGAGCAAACTTAACCTTAACTACATTTCAATGCCAAATTTGGCTGGCTAAGCTGCATAGAACATGGTAATTGATTTAAAAAATCGAGCTACCAGCCCAATATAAATTACACAAGTAATATTCAAACTATTTCTCATCTCAAAGTAGTTTGAAATATTACTTCTTTAATTCATTTTTGGCTTGTAGTTGGTTTTTTTTTTAATCAATTACTATGTTCTTTACCTTAAATTTTCTCAAATTTCAAAAATAAGAGGCATCTTAAAGTGCATTGATGGCAGCGTAGAGATACAACTATCCGTGCTTCATGGCGCAATTGCAAGATGCGTGAACTCACAATGCTTCTATGCCGTTAGTGAGGTGTAGCTCAGATTCGGGAGAAAAAATAAAAAATGAGACTTTAGTATGTCGTTCCTATCATCAGCTGTGTTGCTCACGTAACCCTTGAAGCATCACTACAAATAATACTAATGGAAAACAACACAATACGGATATAGAGCACGAGAAAGAGCTCGCGCTGCCACGGCGTAGACATACAACTATTCGTACTTGATGGATGTCGGTGTTGCGTTCCGCAAAATTGAAGGCGCGATGGCGCGAGGCGTGAACTCGCAGTGCTCCGCTCTATGCTGCTGATGCAGTGTCGCTCAGATTCGGGAGAAAAGTTGAAAAACGAGACCCTGTTGTGTCTTTCCTACCATCAGTTGTGTTGCTCACGTAGCCTTTGAAGCATCATTACAAATAATACTAATGGAAAAGAACGCAATACGGAAATAGAGCACGAAAGAGAGCTTGCGCTGCTACGGTGAAGAGATACAATTATTCGTACTTGATGGATGTCCGTGTTGCGTCCGCAAAATTGAAGGCGCGATGGCGCGAGGCGTGAACTCGTAGTGCTCCGCGCGATGCTACCAATGAATGAGGTGTCGCCCCAAATGGGCCGAGCAGTTCGACGTATTTCTGCGAAACGGAACTATGTGCATTATTACGTGAGCCCTGTTATGCATTTATTCATATGGGTCTCAGGGCTCATGTATTGATGCACATAGTTCCCTTTGGTAGAAACACTTCCACTTCCAGTCCACGAAGCTGGATGACACCTCTCCTATCTTCCCTCGGCTGTGTTGCTAACGTAGCTTTTGAATCAACACTCCAAATAAAACAAAAATATGTCGTAGTAGAATTGTATTATCATAGAATCCGGATCCATTGATCTCTAGTCTGACGCACCGGCGCACAGTGGATCGAGTCAATGGGATAGGTCGGACTCGGACACAATGTGGAAACTTAAAACGCTTTCAACTCCTTTTATACAAACCTTGAAGTTTCTAAAAGTGGTTCCATTGGTTTCCACGTGAAATTTTCTTCTTGAAGCACCCCTTAATGTTTAAAATATGACGATACAAACATAAAAATTTGCAGTTTTAGTCAAAAATTTCATGTCCGACCTCTCCCATTGATTCGATCCATTGTGCGGCGTCCAGGGCCGGATTTACCTGCTTGCCGCCCATGGGGCTCCTGTATTTTGCCGCCCCCTTCTCATTCGTTTTGAAACATCAATAAAAACCATCAAGTGAATGCGCGGGAGGGGGAGGGGTGCAATAAGACGCGTTTACTCGTGTTGGACACATTTTTTCCGAAAGCCGTGTCAACACTACCAGCAAACGGTTACCCAAAGTTCACGGAATTTTGGGCGAAAGTCAAGTTCCGTAAACCTATCTATGTGTGGACAAGACCTTCCACTTATAAGAAATGAACGAAAAAATTATGCAAGAACGAACATAAATGTGGTTTAATAATTTTAACTTCCGCCGGGCCGCCGCGCCGTCCTGACCGCACTGTTTGGCGCAGTGCGTGAAGTATTCATTCAGCCTTGTAGGCGCTATGCGTTTCACGCCGGCCGCGGCTGCTGACCGCACTAGAGTACCTGTATAGCGAGAGTATGGACAGATGTGAAACTCCGAAAATCCATCAGGCCTTCACCGATGCTTCTGCGAATAAAGTTAGGGCCCAGAAAGGCAGCCAACCAATACATATTTCAATTATTCAGAACGATTTACTAAAACTATTGTTACGAACCGTCGTATATAAAGCACGTATTTGCCTCAGTTTTTGCATAAATTTACTCATTTTTGCGGAAGAACGCTCATTCCTATACATTCTTGGTCAGAATTGGAATTTGCAGACTCTGCAGACTGGCAGTGAAATTTTGTGTGTTAGAAGTTGGTTAGAAGGATGGCTGCACTTTTGGGCCCTAAAACCTCCATGAAGCGATCTGTCCATACTCTCGCTAGACAGGTACTCTAGACCGCACTGTGTTTGTAAAATACGAATTTTCAGGAAAACTTGCCAATTTTTCGGATAATTTTCTCCCCACTTTAAACTAAGCTATCTAGAAATTTGAGGGAGGTTGAGGGGGGGGGGAGTCAAAATTTTCCTCGACAATGAATCTTTATAGGAAGCGATTTGGCAACGCTCAAATGTCCACTCGACGTTTTTCCTTGGCACAGCAGTATTGAGACGTAACAAAAAATCTGGGCTGATATTAAATTTTAAGAGGTTCGAGAAAAGGTGGGGATATACTAAGTAAAAAACTCCTTAATCACTACCCGCGCGAGTAGCGCAGGCACTAAATTGCAACGTTGCATGGCACTGCATCGGGGTGTTATGTATATTGCCCACACAACAATGAAATAAACCCCTCTTTTTGGCATTTATTGCGACTAAATTGATTCTGCACAGTGCCACTTAGATATCAGACCTCCTCGCAGCCCCCCCCCCCCCCCCCCCCCCCCNAATTTGACTGGTATCTCACAAAAAATGTGAGGAATTTTTTCGATAAATTCCGTGGCATATCTTCCATCTTTAAAATTATAAATTCGATCAACCTTTGGTGAAAACGGTTCGATATTGCTCCTGAGACGACTCAACTTTTCCGAATTTTTTCGTTGAGGTCCCCGAACCGCCCCTTTAGAACTAGGAACATACCTCGAATGTTCCTTTTGAGATGAAGGAGTCCTATAGGTCTCTCTTGTTTGGGTGCCTTTTAATGCCCCCGACCTTCCTTTGCTCTTCAGTCCCTCACAGAAAAATTGCTTGGCTCCACCCCTGGATGAGACTACAAAAACGCGTATCTCGCTTTGCCAGGAAATTATTTTTAAAGTAAAAAATTACTTGACGCCATATCTTGAAACCTTCTGTGATTTTTTCTCTCTTTGTAGCTGAAGAATGTTCAGTAAAAATTTTCAGCTGTAATGTTACTTAGTTCTCTAAATGAAAATAAAATACGAGCGTAGATTTTGAAACGCCGTAAACAAGATACTTACGCGGTTTTAGAGTCTCACCTTCGAAGAGTACTCACAAGCTTCGCACATTCTAGAACAGGGCACAGGCCCCTTCTGGTACGTACTGTGAGTATTTCATGTAATGGCTGAAATTTCCATTTACTGATGGTTGCCAAGAAATGAGAAAATAATGGTAAGCGCCAACTTATTCAAAACTCCGCGCGAAATGTAGGCGGATTTATGAATTGGTATAACCTAGAAAATTCCACGTGTTTAGCACGATAAATTGACAAGCTGCACTCACATCATGGTTGCCAATTCATGTTATGCGAGATGTTAGAGAGTGGAGAGGAAACAAAAGTAGGATCTATTGTGGTGCTTGCTCGGAAAAAAATACATGCTGAAAAATAAATTAATATTGTTATGCACGTTGCATATAAATTTATCGAAAGGATAAAATTCTAGGAGTAATGCAGTTATTCACTTAAAAACATTGTCGATGACGCAATCGTAGAATCTTCTCGAAGGTTCTAGAATTGGGTCTCATACACGGACCGGAAACAGTTACTACGCAACTCAAGATATCAACACCAACTGTTTGTATGATGAAATAATTTGTTTTTATCTTGAAAGTACAGTAATTAAATATTTTACTCATTAATATAGATTTAAATTGTTATATTTTTATCTTTTTGAAGAATTAATTGACCTTAAAAATATATTTTAGGTAACAATGTCACAAAGATGCATTCTTGAACAACAGGATTCAAACTATTCCGCGCTTCGCGCGTAGAATCCTCGATGCTTTTCCAGAAAGTTCCTCTAACCTATAAATACAAGTGACCATCCCCCTTTCCGGCAATTTGAAAGAAGCGTAAGAAGTGTCGTGTGCGTTCATCCCAAGCGATCCCATTTTTCGGCGTGCTCTGAATTTTCCCACTCAAAGTCAGTGTTTTTCCCTTTTCTCTGTGAAGTTTTATTTTATTCTTTACCAAGGTGAGTTTTGCGTTCCTCTTTTATTGTTTTCAACCACTGATAGTGATGTGTAACCCGGCTCTCTCGGCAAACCTCCGTTCCTAGCTTGCATGCTTTTTCTCACTCTAATTCGCCATGATCCTTTATGTTTTGGATTCCTCCCATTTTCTTCTTAAATCTCCAAGTTACTTGTTATTCGGTGGTCATATCTACAGTTTTATTATCAGCTAACTTGGCCGATCTGTAGCTTCGAAATGAGCCATCTCACTTGATGGAACTACTCATTCTGTCATCCCGGATAAAGTGTACAAGCCTATTACTTCCCACTAATAAATCGATATATTGAGGCTCTCAGCCCTACTGATGGCTTACATTATCTCTAGAGCTTGAATATTATTTGTTAGAGGGTCCTCTGTCGCATGTAAGAACTTTGAAGCATCCCCATCTCGGATCTCCCTTTGTGCCAAGTCATGCTGTTGAAGGCCCGAAGGATTGATTTTTCCCTCGAGCAGGATGACCACTGAGTGGTACCTAGGCCGCCCAATGGCTTATAGTACTCCCGAACACTCATTATTATTTTGATTTTGAATCCTCTGCCGCGTGTGAGGACTACTCATGGAGTATTCTAGTCTTGGTGCCCCCTTTGTGTCGCATCATAGTGCTGAAGGCTTACTAAATATATTGAGTTTGAGTGTGTAAGTTCTCCTTAAGTAAGTTTACGCACTCGTAGACTGTTCCTGAAGATTGTGTAACAATAATTTCACACCAAAAAAATACGCGGATGTTATGATGGTAGATTTTCTGTTGCAGTTCCCGTGTGAATAAGCTTATTTGGCTCAACTTTACTCACTCAACTTGCTCAACTCTAATGGTGCGAAATGATAGTATCTATCACTACGTTCAGGAGTTCTCATCCGAAGCTTATCAGAGATTGACTTCAATCTCTACAAATGACACAAGATACTCCCAATGTTTCACTTTATCATGCCCTTATTTTCTGTTATCTTTCGCATTATGCTCATTATTATGTTTCATTATGTTACAGATGCCAGAAGACGTTAACATGGAACAGGCTGAGACCTTCGTATTTCAAGCTGAGATTGCTCAGCTTATGAGCTTGATTGTCAACACATTCTACTCAAACAAAGAAATCTTCTTGCGAGAATTGATCTCAAACTCATCAGATGTAAGTAGTAGCTTTTCATTATTCTCCAATCAGTCTCAACACTTTTTCTATCTTTGCCATGAAGTCTTCGTTGCAATGTAATTACTTATTACTCCATTCAAATGTCTTAAGTGTCCTCTAAGAACCAATGCTAAACTGCAGCTGATGTGACTTCATTAATTTTACAACACAGCCAGCATCAATTATGGTTCTTGCAGAAACGCTCCATTTAATTATATCAGGGTCTAAACGGACCAATTCTGTTTTCTCTCTGGTTTTCCGCGCTCCATACTTGTGGAAGTGTAAATTAGTATTCTATCTTCAGAACTCAAAGAAACAAACCTCAGCGAAAGCAATCGGGAAATCACTTTTATTTCTGCTCGTTAAACTTTTTGTTGTAATTGTGTTCTAACTCTGAATTTGGTCTAGCTGTACGGTGTTTAACCTGATTTTTTGTTTTGTTTCAGGCCTTGGACAAAATCCGTTACGAATCTCTAACAGACCCATCCCGTTTGGAAAGTGGCAAAGAACTTTACATCAAGATCATTCCCAACAAGAATGACAGAACTCTCACCATCATTGATACGTAAGTATCTCTTATTTGTTGATTATCTTTTCCCTCCTTTTTTTCTGAGTTCTATGAACTCAAGATTTTCATGTTTTCTATCCCCCCCCCCCCCTTTTCCATGACATATCCCAGTCTCTAGAGGTGTCGTCAGCTAAGTTGACGATCGTTTACTTTTGGTTTGCAGGCGTTTTTGCATCACTACTATCCACATGAAAACATCTGACTCTCTCAGAAGCAAGAACACAAGCTTAGATAAGTTTTTTAATACTTTCATTTTTAGCCAAACAGAAATCACAACCTTAAAATAGTCGCAAATCATATCGTATAAGTAGTTTTTTTACGATATGGCTTTAAGACAAATGTTTTCAGTGTGGATAGTAGCGAACGCTGTTTTGTTCAGAGGCCCAAATTCGTCGTTGGCGCTTGCAAACAGAAAGTAAACAACCGTCAACTTAGCTGACGACACCTCTACTTGTGTCTTGTTATGGTCAATTTGGAAAAGAATCATTCATTTTTTTCCTGCCAAAAAATAGCTCATTTTTATTCTTCTACAAGTTCCGAAGGTAGTCTTCCAATTTCTCTTAGGTCCTATACTTTTCAAACGGAGACTATTCACTGTAGCATGCATTCCAAGCATGAGTGAGAAACTTAAATTTTTTAGTATCTAAATGTAATTAGAGAATCTAACAGAAGTTTCCCAATTACATGCTTCTTGTATTGGTTAGTTTGATTTTCTCTCTCCTATCCCTGTGAATGGTCAAGAGATTTTGAGTTCTGACGTTATCTGTTAGTCCTGAACACTTAGAGCTTTCTACAATTGTTACAATATCTAGTGTCTCAGATCTCACTTACAATGTTTCTGCCTACCCTTCGTGGAGCATTGTATTATCGTTTGATAGTGTCACCATTAATGTCTGTCAGTTCAAGCGTTTTGTGCGAATAGAGTATCTCTATCATGAAAGGCTGCAGAGATGATTTTACTGCATTGCACCCTCCTTGAATTTCTCTGTTTCAATGATTAATTCAGAGACATTTCTCCCTGCTAATTCTTGATTTTGATCAAATTTCATGATAAATGATATTAAATGCACAATCTAGCAGCAGGTACTTACATTCTCAGTGGCAAGATCTTAGCAGCGCTGCATGGAATAGTCGCTGTCATTCATGTAATGAGTCAATTGGTGCATTTGATAAAGGTTCTGCCTTTGACATCACAAACAGATCTACTTACCTGTTTTCATTTCTAGACAACATCCAATTCTTGTTATTTCCTTGTACATATGAACTGTTTTCCTTATTCTTCTCTTCTCTCTGTCCACAGTGGAATTGGAATGACCAAGGCTGACCTTGTAAACAACTTGGGAACAATCGCCAAATCTGGAACTAAAGCCTTCATGGAGGCCCTCGCTGCTGGTGCTGACATCTCTATGATCGGTCAGTTTGGTGTAGGTTTCTACTCAGCTTTCCTTGTCGCTGACACCGTCACAGTTGTCTCAAAACACAACGATGACGAACAGTATGTCTGGGAGTCCTCTGCCGGCGGATCTTTCACAATCAAATCTGACCATGGAGAACCTCTCGGCCGTGGGACCAAGATCATCATGCACATGAAGGAAGACATGACTGAATTCCTGGAGGAGCGCAAGATCAAAGATATCGTCAAGAAGCACTCCCAGTTCATCGGCTATCCCATCAAACTGCTCGTCGAGAAGGAGCGAGACAAGGAACTCAGTGAAGACGAAGAGGAAGAAGAAGTGAAGAAGGAAGACAAAGAAGAAAAAGAAGAAGACAAGGATACACCAAAGATCGAAGATGTAGAAGATGAAGAAGAGGGTAAAGAGAAGAAAAAGAAGAAGAAGACAATCAAAGAAAAGTATACTGAAGATGAAGAGCTGAACAAGACGAAACCCATCTGGACCCGCAACCCAGATGACATCACAACAGAAGAGTACGGAGAGTTCTACAAGTCCCTCACAAACGACTGGGAAGACCACCTAGCTGTCAAACACTTCTCTGTTGAAGGCCAGCTGGAATTCAAAGCCTTATTGTTCGTCCCTCGTCGTGCTCCATTCGACCTGTTCGAGAACAAAAAGAAGAAGAACAACATCAAACTGTATGTCAGACGAGTTTTCATCATGGACAACTGCGAAGACCTCATCCCTGAATACCTGAACTTCATCAAGGGTGTCGTTGATAGCGAGGACTTGCCCCTGAACATTTCTCGTGAAATGCTCCAACAGAACAAGATCCTGAAAGTCATCCGCAAGAACTTGGTCAAGAAATGCTTGGAACTTTTCGAAGAGCTGGCAGAAGACAAAGAGAACTTCAAGAAATTCTACGAACAGTTCAGCAAGAATTTGAAATTAGGAATCCACGAAGATACTCAAAATAGGAAGAAATTGGCAGACCTCCTGAGGTACCAGACTTCAGCCACTGGAGACGATGTCTGCTCATTTAAAGATTATGTAGCTCGTATGAAAGAGAACCAGAAGCATATCTACTACATCACTGGTGAAAGCAAAGATCAAGTAGCTAACTCCTCATTTGTCGAGCGAGTCAAGAAACGCGGTTTTGAAGTAATCTACATGACCGAACCCATCGATGAATATGTAGTCCAGCAAATGAAAGACTACGATGGTAAGAACCTGGTCTCAGTCACGAAAGAAGGATTAGAACTGCCTGAGGACGAAGAAGAAAAGAAGAAATACGAGGAAGACAAAGTTAAGTTCGAAACCCTCTGCAAGGTAATGAAAGATATCCTTGACAAGAAAGTAGAGAAAGTTATTGTAAGTAACAGGTTAGTCGAATCCCCATGCTGTATCGTCACATCGCAGTACGGCTGGACAGCAAACATGGAACGTATCATGAAGGCTCAAGCGCTCCGAGACTCTTCGACAATGGGCTACATGGCAGCCAAGAAACATCTGGAAATCAACCCTGACCACCCTGTCATGGATGCTCTCCGAGTGAAAGCAGAAGCTGAGAAGAACGACAAGTCAGTGAAAGATCTTGTTATGCTGTTGTTCGAGACGGCCCTTCTGTCCTCCGGTTTTGCTCTTGAAGATCCTCAAGTCCATGCTGGCCGCATCCACCGAATGATCAAGCTTGGCTTAGGTATTGATGAAGACGAGCCAGTCATGGTTGAAGAGGAGAAGCCAGACACAGCCATGCCTGCAGCTGACGGAGATGCAGAAGATGCTTCAAGGATGGAAGAAGTTGATTAAACATGACGTTTATCACCTGTTCATTCATTCCATTTGGTTCATGTACCTTGTTCTTTCTCCACCTCTGTAGGTGAATGTAACAAGATTCAGAGTTCAAGTATTTTTGTTCCTATTCGCTGAACTGTACTGAGTATTACTAATTCTGCACTTTTCTTAAGTTCAATCCTAGTGTAATTTTCTCATCGTTACTTATTGTTTGTTCCTTAGCTTCATTCTCTTTGTTGATAACATCTAGAATCTGATGAGGGTGAACTCTCTTACTAGTCTGACTGTATGTCCTCATAGGAAATTGCAAAATGTGTGATGTATTTTTCTGTTCTAAGAAAACGTACCTTTTTCTTAAGCTTTAAGAATATTTTGTATCTTTCTTTTTTTAAATAAACAAAAGTTGTTAACGCTAACATTGGTTTTATGTTTTTATGCAAGTCTAGCAAATAAAAACTTAGAAGTAAAGCTAACGCATCATTTTTGCTGTGTCATTTCTAAGACAGTCCAAGATAGTTAATCTCTAATTCCATCAAATGTTCTAACTCATGTTTCAGAAGTAAAGAGTGAATTTTGTTGCCAATTTGATGCGCTAGCTTTTATATTACCTGTAACATCCATCATGGAACTATATAGCAATACAGTAAATGATCAGCTATTTAGAAAAGAAGCCTTTGCAAATACTAAGCTTTTGTGTCAAAATGAAACTTTGACTTTATTTATCTATTCTCTACTTCTTCTGCCTTTGTTGAAATGCGAAAATTCCTAAATAGGCATCTGGTCTTTCAACAAGTAAACAATCACCTATTTTATGACTGAGTCATTATGTTAATGAAGGAATTATTTCCTTCATTTTCAATTCTGATAGAAGCTTCAAATCTTTGCAACCTTAAAGAACAATAATTCAGTTCAAGTAAGACTCTTTTCTAATTTCTACCCCAACTGTGAGTGTTGAGCTTTTAAGAGCCAGTCCTGCCCAATGTTAAGATATCGTACTTCTAAGAAACAGATTTTTCATATGCGTGCTCTAAATATGGACTTTAAAATGTTAATCTGATTTAAAAAAGGAAAAAAAAATCTGAAAATGTTTCTGATTCACTGAAACTGAAGGTAACTAAGACAATTCACGCAAGAGAAGAGTCCCTCTGAAAGTTGGGCAACTTATGTTGTGCTAACCGGAATTAAATTGATGGGAAGTGTAAGTAACGAGGAGTTGTGAAAAAAGAAGAGATTTTATTTCCTTAATAAATTTATTATGTCCAAGAATATAAGAAGGATGTTACAATTTTTAGTTAACAATTACAAAGGGGCCTCTCATATGAAAAAAAAGAAAAAGAAGTGATCCATCAGAACAGCATAACAAGAAAACTTAACGATTAGAGGATCTACTTTAATATATGTAGATGAATAATAGACTATACGTTTTTTACTGAAAGACAGTGATAGCTGCTTAATTGACATTAAAATTAATGGCACAAGGGTGCTTGTCATATAAATAGAAACCTCTCCCTGAGATCATTAAAAGGGATCTTGAAAGACATACTTCAGATCTAATATTAACAGTGAGGGTTAGAAACTTCAAAAATCACGAATAACAGAAAGGAAAGTCGATGACACCTGTCTGGACTAAAATAAACTAAGGTCATGGAAGCATTACACAAGAAAGAAGCAATGATCAAATTAGGTAACATCGTCAAAAATAAGGAAAGCCGTGCAAATTAATTATTTCGATTACATCAAAAATTTAAAACGCGCATGTATTTAAGGAAACTGCACAATTTGGAGTAATAGAATCCACGCCAAATAAATTAATGCATTTTTAGAGTGAGACTCAATCTTAAATCTTGTAGTTACTTTCAATGCTTAATTGAGGACAGTTAATCTTCTGTCGCACCCTAAGAATGCATTAACTTTTTTTACGTCAACTCTGTTAACAAGGATGGTGTCACTAGGGGTGGGAAAATTTTGGAAAGTTGCAATTTGTTTCTTTAGGGGGAAAAGACTTTCCCAAGTGAAAACGACTGGCCATTCTCAAAATATCTTCATTAAAGAAATGAAAGGAAAAACTTCAGGGCCCTGTAGGGCTGTCAAGCAATCATGGTCATTACATGGATTTCAAAATTTTTAGGTGAGAAGATACAGCTTATTAATTGCTTTACTGGGAAAAATTACATACCTACTTATTTGAAAAAAAATGGAAGATGGTGGAAAGCTGGAAAATTTAGAGAAAATTACTTTAAGTACAATATTGGGAAAACTAGAAAACCTATTCTCTGTCGGTGTCCTGCAACATTTATATATTTTAGGAGGAACAAACTTTTTCAATTAATTCAATTAGTAAAACTTAGCTTGGTTTTCAATTGACTACGCAAAAAAATTCTGTAAAAATTTCATGCACATATGTCTTCATTCGTTTCAATTTAAGAGTGAGAATTTTGAGACATGGCAATCAGGATATATGTGTACATTTCGAGTTTCATCATTGACAGACAGAGAAGTTCTCAGAATTCAGACAGAGAATTTCCACAACATTTTTAAATATTGATAAAATTAGACTTATGACTAAATAATTTTCCTCACATTAAAAAAAAAAAAATTAGAATTGGTACGGTACAAGCTAACAAACTCGTCAAAGATCTTTTAACGACTAGACTGTAGTCGGATAAAAATAACATTTAGGTAACAATGTGTGCTTTAGGTAGGAATGTAAAAAAATAAATTTAAAGCAACCAAGAGGCTACGATCAAACTTCACAAATTAAAATTTCACATTAATATCTTACACCTAAAATTCACGTTAAAAGTTTAAGGAACTGATTTTAATACAAGATCACATTGAGCGCAAAAAACAATTTCTAGCTATGTGAATCTAGTTACAATTCCTCTTGCACCAAAGAAAACTGGATATACTTATGTCTGTCAAAATTTTTAAGGACACTTGTGCTTAATATTCTACAAGGCAGCAATTTTCTTAGCATTTCTCAGGATCACGAAAGCTATCAAAGAAAAGGGAAATTAAAATTTTAATTGGCCACCAAGATTATTCTACAGTGTTATAGAAAAGAGGCGTAAGTGCATTTCTGTAAGAGCCATGTTGGCGCATGATCTTATGTGCCTCTAGGTTCATACCAGAGAGCACTTAGGTACTGCTCTTTTCTGTAACACAGAAGTGTTGGAAATAATGGCCGAGGAAGATTTTTCAAATTCCAACGATTTCTTGATGTCAACTTCTATTTTTTTGTTTTCTTTTTTTTTATGGTTTTATTCTTCATACAATTTTTTATTATATTTTCCTCTGATTTTGAGAAGATGATCGGTTCAGTTTCAATCAAGGCACAGCAAAGAATTTTGATGAGAAGCTCAAATAGGTAATGTTGAACAGGTTCATGAGTCAGACACTTGCTTGGAATTTTTCATGGGTGTTGGCGGTAGTTGTGTCATGTTGTTCCAGTCTATTTCGGTAAAATCGATCACAATTTGCTGGTTTTTCGGGATGTATTGCCTGCAAACAGGAAATTAATGGGTAGGTAAGCTTTGAAAGTGATCGGCATCAGCGACATTCAGGAAAAAGCTTATCAATGGGCAAAGTGCAAAACCATGTATCTTCGTTTGCACTGTCGCAGACTTGCTGTCATACTTTATTTTTTCTTTGGAAAACTACTGGACATATTTCTATGAAAGCTTCCTTGATTTTTCTTCTCTGTAGGTAGAAAATTTGATGTAAACTTCAAGCCATAAAAATGACTAGTTCCTCTCCAAAAAAAAAAAATAAAATAAAATAAAATAGGAGCTGAAATGTTGAAACACCGGGACAGAGATAGGTACCTGTTTCGCATTTTGGTGACCAATTATATCTTTGCTATATTAAATGAACATGCAGATTTTTAAGACTTGGGATATAATGCTGCTTAAGATTATTAAAGATTAAGTGAGTAAGAACACACTTGAGCATTCTAAAGAATTCTGTGATTTTTCTTAATTTTCCCTCACCAAAATGAAAAAAATGTCTCAAATTTTATGATCAGCAATCTACCTACGTACAGTTGAGTTCAATACAATAAATTCCACCAGGAAAATTCTATTCTGCCTATTTGACTGGGCATAGTCTTAAGCAAGTCAAGGTCTTTTCCAGTTATCCGAGAGTCTCAACTGTCATACTGGTTGTGAGTCTAGGGTCTAAGCTAAGAAAAAAAGAGAAAGCAGCTAACCGGTATCGGACTTTGGCAGCGTCTAGCATTTTCTTAGCAGCAATGGTTTCATCCTTCATTGCATGCTTGTCTGACATGTAGATGACCTCTGAAATACCAGATTGGATGATCAATTTCGCACATTCATTGCATGGGAATAGGCCCACATAAATTGAGCAGTCCTTGACGTCCGCAGAATTCTTGTTCAAAATTGCATTCATTTCAGCATGACAAACTGAAATGCACAAGAGCAACAAACATTAGGTGCACAGACATTTGCAGCGGAGAGTTTGAAGCTAGTTTAATGCAGCAGAATCACCCGCAATTGCAAAATTCTTCCCAGTTATGCTCCCAAACTTCAGAATTCCATTTTTCTCATTGTAAGTTGTAGTATAGGTACTTAAAATCAGTTTTGTCTCTTACAATGAGTCCTCATAAGAAAAGATAAACTAGCTGTGGGGTCAAATTGTGATTATGAAAACTGAAAATGAGATTTAATTTATAAACACAAGTTTTAACTTTAGCAGAGGGTTCATTAAACATTATTTGGACATTGATCATCAAATTAAGAGGGAGCTGTTCAGAAAATACACATCATTAAATTTCGAATTTTTTACCTCCTCCCTCCTTGTAACAGTGTTGTAACATACTTAGATCCCTATCCTTTAACACTTAAAAACAAAATGACACAGTACTCAAGAGCTCTCCTCAACCCCTCTCCCCCTTAAGTGTTAAGTATTTTATGAGCAGCCCCTAATTACCATTATTTTTAAAACTAAACGGGTGTCATTTGAATCGGTGAGAAAGAAAACACACCAACTCGAAAAAATGAAAATAATCGAGACACACACAAAAATGCATGGTAGGTGAAGAAGTTAGTCTAAGAAAAAGATTTTTGGTGCCTAAAAGCAAGTACTTATGGACACTTTAAATGTCCAAGTTGGAACAGATACAGTAACTTCCATGACCTTTTATGAAGATTGTCTGTCCTTAGTGAAAAGTGAACATTTTCAAGTTACCGAGTTGGTGTGCTTTCGTTCTCACTGATTCATTTATAGTTAAATGCAGCTTGAAAACTTCCTCTAGATTCTCTTATGAGGATGGAAAAAAAGAAAAACTCATTCGATCAGAGTGTGCAGCAAAATCTGTCAAAAGTAAATTCTTTTGCTTTGCAAAAGAACTGAATATCATCCTTTGATTTTAAAAGACCACAATGGTTGTAGATTAATACTTGCCATACAAATATTTTGTTTCCAGTTTCGAAGCAGATTCCTTTCTCCATGGAAATTTATCATCACTACAGCCAAACGGAAATCCATTGTAACCAGTTCCGACTATTTTTTTATCTTTGTTCACGATGCATGCTCCAACCTGAGAGCAAGGGTCTTTGCTCCTCTGAGCAACAAGAAAGGCAGTTGCCATGAATAATTCGTCCCATTCAATATAACTTTCCCGCCTCGAGTTAATGTCTCTCCTGTAAACAAATTTTAGCACATGTAATCCCACATTACAATGAAAAATAACTCACATGAACAATATAAAATTCCATATTAGAGATTAGAAGTTTTTAATGACATGCCCTTGCAGTATTTAAATTCGGTAGGTGAAGCTGCAATTTATCCAATAATCAGTAAAAACTTTGGTCTCCTGATTGATCAGAATTAAAGATAAATTTTGTTTATTGAAACTGGGTAATCTAAAATGATAAAGGCAGTTACAAACTGGGTGGGTACAAAACGAAAGTCCTAGCGGAGGATTAATACATAAAGAGGAACAAAGGAGATTCTCTTACAACACTGCTGTTTGTATGGGCAAAATTATCTACTTAGATTTCCAACGATCAGGCAAGCAAGAACATCAGGAAAAATCCCTGTGGACCAGTAGACATTTAGGGTGGTTTTTGACCTGTTAGTCTCATTCAAACCGGAGAAAACAATGTATTAGGCCGGCGTCGGCACGAACAGGACAGTATTCCCAGTCCCTACTTTTGTTCCAGTTCGCCCATGGTTTATATGGTTTAGCGGTGCCATGCATCTGCGCTGTACTCCTACTATGAGTGTTGAAACCTCCGCAACTTGATGAAATTAGGACCCTGACACTACCTGAGGTGAATCGTCAAGCCCAAAAGAGGTGGTCGAACTGGCATTCGATATATCGCATCTTTTAGGTCAAAAATCTCGGCAGATTTTTAATTTATAGCAAAACAAATAGCCCATGCACATGAACCCCAAAAAACCCAAAAATTGGCACAATTCAGAGAAATGAACGCATAATAGTGTTTGGAAAAAAATCTCGCATTCGATTCAGCAATCGATTTCTGTATGGAATGTGAGGTTTTTTTTCAAAACACTATTCTGCTGTTACTTCTCTGAATTTTGCCCATTTTTGGGTTCAGGATGATTCATTAGGTTTGTGCGTAGGGGCTATCGTCCTTCCTTTTACTAAAAACTCAAAATCTGCAGAGATTACTTACCTAATCAACGCGATATATCGCACGCCAGTTTAACCACGTCATTTGAGCTTGACGAATCACCTTAATACTTCATCTCCAGTAAATCTTCGAAGTTTTGTCGGAATATTAATGGTAGAAGGTGCGTTCCTGATAAGCGATGGAGCTTGTTTTGGTGAATTACCCTTTGCCCAACTGAGGCCTAATTACTGTCTCGTAGGTAACTTCGTTTACCACCTCAATGCAGAATGCTCCATTCACCAGCCGCAATAGGTGCTGAGTCGTTGCGGTGAGCATTGAACTACCATGACAGTGACTGGGTAAAAAGCGTTTTCTCAACAGAGGTTCAGGAACAATCATCAAACTCACAACGCTCTCACAGGGTAATTTTGGTTGAGGCCCGTTGTCTATGACAAACGCATTTAGAATTGAGCTAGATTAAACTAAAAGTGAATGCTCACCGCTTCCTCTTTTCAGGGGTGCGACATTGCCCATTGGTATGGTCTCCATTCCCAAGTGGTGATATCCGTTCAAAAGTGTCATTTTCACAGTTGCTGGAATACTTAGATGAATTAGAGTCCATCGTAAATGATAACTTGTCAGTTCTGCACCTGCGACCCTGAAAAACTGGTGCAAAGAAATGCAAAATTTGACCGACAAGTGTTGCTAAAGTTTTACTTCGTTGTGCAGAAATATGAGTTATATCGGAGCCGACTTACGAGACTGGAATTTGCTGATTTCAGGAAATTCTCTAGCACCTGAGGCTGAAAAGCTAAAAGCTGACAAAATCGACCGCGTGGCGATGAGAAGTGAGAAGTTGAGAACAATAAAAACAATAACAAATTACTAACCTCACTTTCTTATCATCTGATGTAAACATAACCTCCGAACCATGTGGGTAAGAAAGTTATCTCGAGTCTCGAGTTTCAGAGAAATCATAATATGACCATGGCTTTGACATGGCTCTAATTCTGATTTCTTTTCAGGAATGCAAGTGTTTTGATCGCTGTGTGGGTTGCTAGTCTATCAAAGTACCTTAATGAATTCTTACCAACAATTTTTTCGCCGAAGATTCTCTTCAAATGTCAAGGATGGGATATCATCGAGTGTTGTTCGGAGTCGGTTCATCGACTTCTTCTCAGAAAACAACCATAACTTCATCAGATCCAGCTCTGTTGTACCTCGGAATGATCCAACCATTCCTTTTATCAATGCCGGAATGTGTCAGGTAATTGCCCTCTTTTCTTACCTGACTTATTGTTAGTACTGTAAAGTTAGAGTCTTCGACTTCACCCCTGGCACCTCAAAAGGCTCTTAATATGATTTTTTTTGTACTCATGGAAATGTCAGAGTCCGAGCAAAGCTCAAACTTTCAACAGATGAATATTAATGAAGAGTTTGAAGATCCCTCCAGGAATCCAAATTTGATAATGACAGTCCAATGGTGCAGAAAATGCTTGAGTATGCAAACCTCAACTCATGAACGGTATGAGGAAATCTGTGAGCTTAGGTTTGGAGATGTTCTTGACAGCGAAAAATTTTTCTGGTGGGTCAATCAAGCCAATACTTAATGAGGAAAAGAACAATCCGTCACTGCTATCCCTGGATTCCTTTTTACCGCAGCCGGGGATCAAGTTGCAAGTTTTGTCTCTGTATCTAAAAAGCAAATTATAAAAGTAAATTGACTTTTTATTTCTCAATTTAAGGAATTATTTTAGTTCAGTGTCATTCATCTTCACCTCAACTGTGTCATCTGTTTCCAGTTCAAACATTTTCTGTCTGGAGAGATGGAACCGCCTTTCAAAAGGGTTGTAAACAGTCAAAAGTGCATTCGAGTGAGTGGGAAACACAATGATTTGAATGAAGTTGGGCTTGATGGCCACCACCATACATTCTTTGAAATGCTTGGCAACTGGTCTTTCAATGATTATTCAAAGGTAAGTGTCTGTGCAGTCAGACTCATATTAAATGACTGGACACAGAAAAAGAAGAATCAAGCTCTTTGAAAAGGAAAGAGGCATAATCATTGTATCAAAAATTGCTATTAAAACTGCAGAAATGCGCATCTTTGGTTGCAGACTTCCTGTCATACTTTATTTTCTACACGGAAAACTATTAATTGGACCACGTTAAGCAGAATGAAACCAAGCCATATTTTCAGGTGATTTAAGTTATTGGTTGATCTGAATGGGTCAAAATATGCTTTATCTCACGGCAAGAGTGCTTGATTGGGAAAAATCGTGTTCAATTCCAAATTTTGATTTGAAATGTCGATCGATTTGCTTCGGGCAATTTCGAATTCACAGAGAGGAACCAAGTACAGGAGCCACCCTAGGGTAACTTCGCTGATATACTCCTGCCAAAACTGCAATTTGAGATTAGGTAACATAATTTCAACTTAAGTTGTTGTTCGTTGTTTTAATGGTATTTTTATGTTAAAATCTTTTTATTCACTACTCACCGAAATTGCGCCAGCAAAAAGTATGTAACAAGGAATCTGTTTCTGTTTTCAAACTAAGTGCTCTGTCAACAACAACACTGCATATCGCGCTCTGCTGGGCCGGGAACCAAGTCCCTGCTATGTTCAAAATCGAATTGCCGGAGAGGAATCAAGTGGGCTTAGTTCCTTTCTGTGAATTTGTCTTCCGACTTGATACGATCACCCTTGAAACCAAGCGGTACTTGGTTCCTTTCTCTGATTTGATTTTGCCCATTTAAAAGCAAGCAACAGGGAACCAGTGACCAAAAACACAGGTAGTTAAACAGGTAAAACATTTATTCCACTTCTACTGGTGTCCAGAACTCTCTTATGAAGACACTAGTTCGTAAAAATTAAAACTTCAACCATTCTGATCGGTATAGAAATGCATGAACAGTAATCCTATCACCTCAATCTTGTCAAGATCAGCTCAATGTCGCTTGGTTCCTTTCTGCTCAACGTTGTCCAACTGTCACTTCTTGAAAATTTCCGAGATTTTCTCTCCATCTGAAAAATATTCCTTAGAAATTTTAAGCCATGATGTTGGTTCGGTCTCCATTTAAAAAATAAGAAAGTAGAGATTTTTATACACCGCAACTGACATACGGATTTTCGCAGTTTCACCTTCGAAGTACATCAGCGAGAGAATCAAAGGTGGATGAGGGCTGACTTTTGAGTTGTAGATGAGTCGCAGACATAATGTGTACACTAGGAATAGATGTACGGCTCCACTCTGCAAAATTACCAGCAAGTCCCTCAATAATTCCCCTTTTCATTGTGCCGACTTGTATTAGGAACTTTTGACTAACTAGGCTACTTAAATTTATTCACTTATTATTCTTACTAGTCATTCATATGCTCATTATTCAGGATTAATTAGTCTCACTGAATGTTCCACCTTGTTTTTCAGGAGACTGCGTGTAAATTAGCATGGGAACTACTAACAACACCTCCGTTTTCCTTGGATACAAAAAGATTGTATGTCACCTATTTCGGTGGCGACACATCACAGTCAGTGCCACCGGACATCGAAACTCGTGAAATTTGGAAGAAAATCGGGTAACTTTCTCTCAGCTCAGAATTTTTTATATTTTTTTGCTCAAATTATTTTTTCTCTGCGGCTCTAATTCTATCATAACAACGAGCAATTGCAGAGCTAATAAGAATGTACTTTGGTCTGGAACATTGAAAAATTTTGGGCACATATTATTTTAGCATAGGAAAGGGACCTCGGTAGCTATCAAAAACATCAAAATCGAGATTTTGACAGCTCTGCATAGATATATATTTTACTAACATTTTACCGCAGAAAGTATCCAAAAATTCCCAACCTAACTGCAGTTATACAGATTTGTAGATTTAAAAAAGTAGTTTTCTGTTAAAGTTTCTCACACTTTTAATCTACTATACTTGAGGCTGAAAATTGCAAAGTAAAAGTGAAACTCTGCGGCTCTTTCTGGCTCCAAAATGATTGAAGTGAAGTTTTTGCAACTTGTTGTTTGGGATACCAGGGAGAGTGTCTCATTGAAAACTCAAAAATTAATTTTATGATTCCACGTTCCAAAAATAACTCCTTTCAAGAAAAGTCCTCCGCAGACTAATGCTCATTTTCCTGTGGGCGGTCACATACAAAAAATTCACCCCCGTATGTTTATTTTTCTAGAGTTCAACAAGATCACATCATTGCTGCTGGCATGACGGACAATTTTTGGGAGATGAGTAGGATAGGTCCTTGCGGTCCATGTACAGAAATACTTATAGATCGAAATCACAAAGAGGGAAAAATTCCAAATCTGTCTGAGCTGACAGAGCTGTGGAATATTGTCTTCATTCAATACAACAGGTAGTGTATTTTAGCAGTAACTGCAAATTTTCATACAGCAACGTGTGATAATAAAATATGGTTAAGAAAAAAGAAACAAAATAGCTTGAAATAAAGCTAAAATTTTTAAGAGAAAATCCAAAACGTCTTGACTGGTTACCCAGCTATTATTTCCCTGATTTTTCATCCTAATTTGACAAAAAATGGAGGCTTTTTTCAATACAATTTTCTGCTTAGAAGCTACTAAGCCCATCTTCTCCAAACTTACTGCTCTCTTTAATTACTTGACAGTATTTGTATTTGATATTTAATGAAGAAAGTTATTTTTTTTTTTTTTTATTTTATCATTTTTTTCCTCAGGGAAGAAGACAGATCTCTAAAGCTTTTAGAAAATTCTCATGTAGACACCGGAATGGGTCTAGAAAGAGTGCTAGCAGTGTTGCTCAATAAAAGCTCAAACTATGACACCGATCTTTTTATCCCACTTTTCGAGACCATTCATAAGGTAATGTAAGAATTTCACGTTTTTTAAAGTATATTAAAATCAGATTAAATTTGTCTTTGAAAACTGGAAGGACTATTTTTTGATAAATTGGAATCTTGTCTTATCACCCAAACATAATTTTTAGGAAGAAATGCCATTGATTTTTTTCCCCTCTTTTCTGTTTTGTTCAAGAATTTGATATAAACTTCAAATTTTTTGGTTCTTTTTGGATTAGCATGACTTTTTGATCATTTTTTAAACAACCCAATCCTGAACTTTCAAACTGCTCAATTTTACCTGACATTAGAGCTCTATAACCACTTCCTTGTCGTGTTTTAGGTTCTTATGACTACTTCCGGACTTCATAAGAAATATTTTTTGCTTTTCTCAAACTTTGCCAAATTCATTTTTATCCTTGTTTGTAAGGGATTTAATTTTGCTTAAATTGATTATTTCTGCTTTTACACATTTGATTCTTGAAGAAATGCTGGTGTTGTGGAAAAGTTAAGGAAAAAGCAAAAGTGTTTTTCCTCCCTTGCGCAATGCAATAAATTGGCATTTAGAGGTTTGATTTTGTCATGCTCTGTTTATTTGGTAGGAAATAAAAAGTAGTAATTTTCTGGAAAGAAACAAACTCAAGCAAAGGAGCAGCCTTTGGAACTGTATTTAAAAGGTCTTAAAAGAGAAATTTACAAATATAATCATGTTACACTGTGTAAGTTTAATCCTCCCCTCTCCTCTTCCTTTTTCGTGATTCAGCGTCATATTGACTCAAATGCTGAATGCGCTTTCATCTCATTGAGCTTTCCTCTTAATACAGAAAATTTTCCTCATTCAAAATACTTATGCCCTCGAAGGTAGCTGGTGTGAGGAAGTATGCAGGAAAATTTGGAAAAGATGATGCAGATGGCCTTGACACCATTTATCGTAAATTAGCGGATCATTGTAGAATGGCAACGGTATCATTGGCTGATGGAGTATTTCCAGATATTAAGTGAGTTTCTGGTAATTTATTCTGGAGTTTTTGGAAAAGAGGTTGTTACAAGTTCAATCCTCCACAAACAAACGTTTGTGTCTAATGTCTTTAAAGTGGTGTTGAATCACTGAACACTGATAAAAGGAATCGCAAGTCATACGAATTATGTCATTTGCATTATTGCCATTTAACTTGTGTTATTAAATTAAAAAATTAACAAATCCTTAAATTTTCTTGATTTGTTTCCCTAATTTTCCGTTGTGTTAATTGTTTTCTACGTTATATTTTGAAGAGAAAATATGCAACAGAATGCTTTAGTTTGTACCTTATAAGTAGTGACCCACAGCTTTATAGAATTTGTGATCAAGGAATTGTGAACGATAACCAACGACTATTGAATTTCAGGGGTTGGAAAGAGACTAAAATCTTTTATTTAAAAGAGATCTCATTTCACGAAAATCTGCACCTTTTACAGAGACCATCAGAGGCAAAGCCTGTGCAAGTTGCAATTTCTAGTTTTTATTGTTATCTCATCTCCTAAATTTTCAATTTTATATGGAACTATTTTTTTCTTTTCCATATTTCTTTGCCTCTCAAATAACTCGGTTTTACTTAATATTTGTTTCCCTATTTCAGTCCTAAACTAAAAAGGATTTTGCGGAAAGCTCTCACCATGCCAACAAAATATTTTGGGTTTGACTGCGGAGAAAACCTAGTAGTGGAACTCAGTAAAAGGGTTGCAGAGTCGTTAGTTGTGGCCTACCCGGAAATTCAAACAAATTTTCAACAAGTTAGTTAAATTTTATAAATCAGTTGGTTCATGTGTTATGAGCACTAAATAAAACAAGAATAAAAAGTTTTGAAAATATCTAAATTTTAAAATATGTGCACTGATAAAGACTCTGGAAAGACTAAGCCTGGTGAGCATCTAGAGGGTTGTGTAAGCAGACCGCAAAGTTTCGGCCCTGTAGTTGCCTTTTAATCGTTAGGAATTCTTTATTATAACACTTAGATTAGTATAATAGTATGTTTTTGTGAGATAGTTTTAAGATATTCTCGTTGAAAAAAGTCTTAAAAACTACCAAATTTTGTAGATTTTATTTAAGCCTCCACTTTTGGCATGGAGCTTATGAAATGCCGATAGACAATTTTATAAATCATTCTTGCCTTGATTTCCTTAACTTTTTGCAAATACTTACTTAAACTGCGGTTTTCCACAACCTAAGAATATTTGTCTCGGAACTTTGGTACATATATCTCCTTCAATTTTTGAGATTTTAGGATCAAATTTGCGCAAAAATTTCCAAATTTTCTTTTTCAGTACTTTTCCAAGAAGTTAAAGATGATTTTCGCCTGGAAAATGAGGTCCTCTTTTCACAAATCTGCTCACATTCTAAGTAATTGTATTAACAAGAATGTGAAAATTTGAACTATTATTATAAGCTCTCTCAAATTCTTTTTCAGGTAGTGACACTTATAAATCATGAAGCTGAGCATTTAAAATCACTCCAGAAATCTTCCAACGCAGAGTGGAATCGTTTGTTAGCCTTGCATCCAGAGCTAAGTGCAGTGGATGTCCAATCAATGCTCGGAATTACCACAGCCTACAAAGATACGCAGAAACAAATGGTAAAAAGGAATGTGAAGAGAGGAGACTTCCTGCCTTCAGACTTGGTTGTGAGACTATTCGATACATTTGGTCTGGACTTGGAGGCAGCGCACGATTTAGGCAGTGTGCTTGGTAAGGGAAGGATGTTCTACTCAGTATTTCATTTCTTTCAGTAATCAGAATTAGAATCATGACATTTGATGAAAAATTGATCTTCTAAAAATATTTTATCTCTTTGTTTTTCATTTAGAAGATTATCTCGCAGTATCTTGAACAGAACCGAGGTTTACATCCTTATCTAATCACTCCCATCAACTCTTAATTTGAACGAGCCATAGTCACTTCTCAAAAATTATTTTTCAATCCTTTTCTTTAAACGTGAAGCAAACTTATTTCCCTTTTGTTCGCTGTAAATGAATCGCATTGTGCGAAAACCGATAGTGCCCATTTTTCCTGACTTGGAATTTTTTGAAATGATAATATTTTTCAAGGTTAGATGCAACTATGTAAGTGATGATAAGACTTGCTTTCGAGTTACCCTCTTTTCAAAGCAAATCCTTACTCCAATTTCATGACTGTATCGACTCTTGAAAAGTATTATTAAAGCAAAAAATTCAAAGCTGGAAAAATGAGTATGTATCAGCAGTTTTCGTACAACGCAATTCAAATAATCTTGATACTCTCAAAAGTGATTTTGGAGAGAAGCATAAAATCCATAATAACTCTTTGTGTTTAATAAAGAGAACAATCTATACTATAAGCTCCAAGACCTCCTAATTTTGCGAAACTGGTGACGCTTAGTTCCAGCGTTCTACCGGGCCGATTTTCATGATTTTTGCGGCTTTCGACGGGCAATTGTCTCTAGATAAGCCAACTCTTTTCAGATTTTCAAAATATGGCCCAGGTTTTTTTATATTACGTGGTAAAGTTGCGAATTCTCCCATTTAAACAATGTAAATTTATACTTTTTGTCATAGTTCGTTTGAGCGTTCTACCGGGCCGATTTCCATGATTTTTGCGTAAATCGACAGGTAATAGGCTCTAGATGAGCCCGCTATAATCAGATTTTGGAAAAAGGACCCAGGTTTTTTTTAAAATCACGTTATAAAAGTGAGTGAGTTTACAGAATGCTCCGGTACTGCCACCGCTATGCGCGGGAGGATGCGCAGTGGTCGAGGAGGTTGCGCAGTAGATGTGTAGCCTGCGCATCAACTCTACACTTATCTACACAAGATTCGCTCCACATACCTCACGTCGAGCAGTGGCCGAGTCGTCTAAGACATCGAATGCGTCCACTTTGCACCCGGTGTTGGTTCGATCCCCGATTCATGAAATCCTAATTATTACCTGACTAACGTTGTTCATTGTTTTACTGCAATATTTCATCAAGCAGTCATTCCCAAACGCGTCCTTTTAATTTTAAAGTAATTTTAAGTAAAGTTTAAAATTAAAGTATACCTCATATCGTAATTTTTTAGGGGAAAAATAAAACTAACACTGATAGGAGGGTAAAAATGGGGCCGCGAAGCGGCCCATTGATGGCGCGGAGCGCCTTCAGGGGGTTGGGCCGCGTAGCGGCCAGGGGGCTTAGCCCCCTAGTTACATAATATTTAAAGAGAGAACAATCGGTAGTTTTTAACAAAATTATAGTAGTAATTTTGAAATGAGAATGACAGAATGGTAGTTTTTAAAATGATAGAATGGTAGTTTTTAAAATGACAGAATGGTACATTTTAAAATGACAGAATGGTACATTTTAAAATGACAGAATGGTACATTTTAAAATGACAGATTTAGGAATCCCTCTTGCGATTTTGCCACAAAATCCCAACAAGTTTCAACTGAGCTCATAGTTTTTAAATATATATATATTTTTTTAAACTTTTTTAGGTTTCAAGATTGACTTCAATGATTTTAATGAAGAGTTTGGTGGGTTCAAAAACAGCAGCAAAGAAAACACAGCGACCATTTTGAAACAGTCCAAATTATTGTCAAACGAATCTCTCCAAACACTGCAGCGGCTTTATCCTAAAACTGATGACTCCTTTAAGTATGACTACAGGAGGGTTGAAGACAACTGTTACGCTTTCAACAAACTCTCATCAAATCTACTGGCTGTGATAAATAACGATGATATCATATTTAGTGCTAATTCCCTCAATGAGGAGGGGAACGGAAACGTAGCACTGCAACAAGTAACTCTGCGAGATGGCGAAGAGTTGAGCTTTATTTTTGACAGAACTTGCTTCTACTACGAAGCAGGAGGTCAAGAAAGTGATGTAGGATATATTCTCTTGGAAAATTCTGATTCGCACCGAGCGAAGATCTCCGTAATGACTGTGAAAAATTTCAATGGCTTTGTGATCCATAGAGGCCGAGTGCAGCTGGAATCATCAACAAGCCAATTTCCCCTTCGATCCTCTTGCTCTGCCACTTTGATTATCGATGAAAATCGCAGGCTTGGAAACATGAGGAATCATACAGCTGTTCATATTTTACACGCTATTTTAGGACAGTCACAAAGAATTGTCGCCCAGCGAGCCAGTGCAGTTTGTTCAGATGCTCTGAGGCTAGATTTCAACTTGTATGGATCCAAGTTAACGGTCGCAGGTAAGCTTCCCTTGCAGTTTGGTCCATCTAGCAAAAATTTAAAAATAGCCTCTAGGTATAACAGGAAACTCCCTCTATTGTCCTGAAGAAAGAGTTGCTAATGGTTCAGTTCATTTTTGCTGGAGTAAAGAGCATAAAATTGCATCATAATCAGACCGTTTTGTGGTCTAAACGCGACAGATTCAAATATTATTGAGTATTTGTTGGAAAATACGCAGTTTGATCGCAAATCCTGAACTGCCGTAATTCCCATTTGGTTTTGACAATTTTGGACTCCTCCCCCCCCCCCCCCCCCTATAGTTACACAACATCCCTATGCTCTGCTGTCAAAAATTAAATTAAGCCGTCTTTTCCTAAGAATGGCCTTGAATGGTTTTTACATGTCATTAACAGTTCACAATGATACAATTTTTGTCCTGAATCCTCCCTTTTTTTTCTCTTTTTTGTCCGCCCAAAAGTGCCTCAAATCATCGCAAAGCGGGCTCATGATTTTTTCAGGAGAGCTCCATGCCCCCAGAGGAGGCGAAAATTTTGAGGATCCTTTGAAGGGCTCAAAGGCGTTGAATCCGGCTCTGGGCTGTTTATGCACATGCTTTGTTAGGATTACTGTCATGCCAAGAAAAAACATCATGTGAACATTCGAGAATTGCCAAATTTCCCTCGATAAAATTATTATTTTTAAGGAGAGATATGAATATTTTCTCTCGAAACTTTCAGACAGTTAAGATCTAATCTCGAATAAAATTCTCTGAAAAATTCGTGTAAAAATATTTCTCAGATTTCCCTGAAAATTCATGCTTTATCTAGGGATTTGGCAATGTCCAAAGGCTCTTGCAGCGTTCTTCAGCACAGCAGAATATGAATTCCTAAATAGTACATTTACTGAATAGGGGAAAATTGTTTGCCTGAAAGATTTTCAAGTATTTAACTCTCAGGCATTCTATTGAGTCAACTGAAACAAACACTCAAAAAAATATGGCTCTAGTCAAATATTAAGTTTTTTTCCTTGATACAGATTTATACTTTAAGCAGTAGCAATTGATGCAAAATAAATGTGAAGTTATCTTCCTCCGCGCAATCACTGCAGTGTTCAAATTTTTTTCAAAATGACCGAATATTTCATAAGTAATGCTTGTTTCTTTACTTGCAGATATGGTGTCTATTGAGGATCAATTTAAAAAAGTCATACTAAGCTCGATTCCGGTTGAAAGGGAGGTCGTAGGTGGTGATAAAATTTTTCTCGAGGATATCAAATTGTTGCCAGGGGAAGTTTATCCCTTTGAAACAATATCTACCATCAAGATTAAAGATGGTGAATTTTTTTCAAAGTAAGTTTGATGAAGTCTATTTTTTACCTAACCACCATTCTACCTGCATCTCACAACAACCTCAGTAGTTTTTTCTGAAGTCCGATGCTGTTTTCTCCGTAGGAAACATGATGTTAACTATTAAATAGGTAAACTTACTCTCTGGAAGGCCTTCGTATCACTGTAACATTTTCCTGAAATTAAGTTTTTGAGCCTCAGACTTCAAACCTCTATTAATTGAAGTAAGGTTTGTCATTTTTGGGTTTTTATTTGTGTGGTAAAGTCTCCCTAAAATATTTCTTCATACAGGGTGTTCGAAAAGTCCCCTCCCCCCCTCTAACTTTTGACCTAATTGAGGTAGAGATTTGAAACTTGGAGGGTGTTCCTAGATCAAAAGGAGCTACTTTTTGACCCCCCCAAAATTTTGGGGGGGCCCCATTTTGGGGGGGGGGTTACGGACCCTAACTTTTAATTTTCAAATGGGAAGACCCCCTTTGTGATACCTCGTTCGAAAGAGCATAAAAAAGAAAATTTTTCGCGCAAACCGGAAGTCATTATCTCAAACCGTTTCAAAATGCGGCCGGTCAAAGTTCCAAATGGCCGAAAATTGGCACCTCTGCTATTTGCACATGGATTTGCTTGAAACTCGGTGTCTGGGGGTATTTTGGCACGAGAAAAACGAATTTAACGTTAGATTTTCAAAAAAACCCTAATTTTTCAAAATGGCGACCGGTTTAGGCTCAAAAAGGCCGAAAATTTGACAAACTCGATTTTTTTGCCAATGGATTCACCTGAAATTCGGTATCTGGGGGTATTTTGACCCGAGAATAACGAATTCAACGTTAGATTTTTAAACAAACCCTAATTTTTCAAAATGGCCGCCGATTAAAGTTCAAAATGGTCAACAATTGGCAACCTCGACTTTTTGCCGATATATTCGCCTGAAACTCGGTGAAATAACGTCGAATTCGTTTGTCTCCCACCCAGATACCCTCAAACTCGCTCGGCAAAAAGTCGAGGTTGCCAATTGTTGACCATTTTGAACTTTAATCGGCGGCCATTTTGAAAAATTAGGGTTTGTTTAAAAATCTAACGTTGAATTCGTTATTCTCGGGTCAAAATACCCCCAGATACCGAATTTCAGGTGAATCCATTGGCAAAAAAATCGAGTTTGTCAAATTTTCGGCCTTTTTGAGCCTAAACCGGTCGCCATTTTGAAAAATTAGGGTTTTTTTGAAACTCTAACGTTAAATTCGTTTTTCTCGTGCTAAAATACCCCCAGACACCGAGTTTCAAGCAAATCCATGTGCAAATAGCAGAGGTGCCAATTTTCGGCCATTTGGAACTTTGACCGGCCGCCATTTTGAAACGGTTTGAGATAATGACTTCCGGTTTGCGCGAAAAATTTTCTTTTTTATGCTCTTTCGAACGAGGTATCACAAAGGGGGTCTTCCCATTTGAAAATTAAAAGTTAGGGTCCGTAACCCCCCCAAAATTTTGGGGGGGTCAAAAAGTAGCTCCCTTTGATCTAGGAACACCCTCCAAGTTTCAAATTTCTACCTCAATTAGATCAAAAGTTAGAGGGGGGGGGGAGGGGACTTTTCGAACACCCTGTATACCGGCACCAGTATGTATTTCAATTTTGAGTTTTTCAACTTTTAGGGTCATTTACTTATGGGCTGTCTAAAATGGGATTTAGTTACTGTTACAGATCATAAGAAACAAGTTTTAGTGATGTGTCAAATTTCATTTTGTTGACCTAAGGAATGAGCATCAACTGCAACTGCTTCAACGATAAATGAGAGTAGTGCAATTAAATTAGTTTTATTAGATGACCACTCGTAATAGAAGCTACTTGCTTTCAATTAATTAGAAGTTAGGATTCAAAGAAGCAATAGTCCCTTCTGTGAGAATTTTCCAATATGATTTTTTATGATGATGTTTGATTTTCTTTATTTATTTTTATTTATTTTATTTATTTGATATTCCATAGGCGAACCCAATCACAATTGCTTATATAGAGTAATTACAAAATGAGAGACCATAGTAAAACAAAATAATAACATCATGTAAAGAAAACAGCTGCTAATTTCTTTCACCTTGCATGGTTTACGATATATTTTTTTTTTTTTTTTAAAGTAATTCTCTTGTCCTTACTCTATTTATTTCAGGGAAGCCTGTTGTGGCACCCATGTTCTAAACACCAAAGATATAGAGGCTTTCGTAATCACAAAATGCAAAACTCAAAGTAGGATGAACTCGATATCTGCCGTGACCGGGGAGAGCGCTGTCACTGCAAGTGCAAATGCAGACCGTGTCAATCTCAAGATAGAAAACTTCAAAGCTAGTACCAAAAATTTAAATACCGGCTCGGTCAGTATTTCTCTTTTTTATAATATTTTTCCATTTCTCTCTTTGATGTCAGCAAATTTTGCATGGGTATTCCTTTTTTTAACCATCACAAAAGTAACACCTTGCTCAATCCAGCTGGTATGACTTTTTTTCTAGTTTTGTCTCTTACACTTATTTCACATGTTAATCATTTTTTTTAATGAATTGTTTCAGCAAAGAGAGTACCAGGACTTCTTGAAATACCTGGAGTTTGAGCTTAAAAATAGTGTCATGCCTGTGAACTCATACAATGCTATACAAGAATTTAAGGAAATGGGTTTGAATAAAAAACTAAAAGAGCTTTGTCGAGCATCAGTCGTGTAAGTATACTCTATCATTCAAGAAAGTAGTCACTTATTATGCTTAAATCTGTAAGTTTGCCTGTGTTGAGGATATTTTATCACACATTTGCTGTATGCCTGAAATAGAGAGACAATCTCAGTTCTAGGCAGCGATTTTTTGAGAACCGTAGTTTCTTTACCTCAAAAATAACTGTTCAGAACAGAATGGTTAATCTGTATTTTTAATTTTTTATTTCTTTTCAAAGGAAAGATAAAGTTTTCTTTATCATTTTTTTACTTGTCTGTGTGTTTCAGCGATGAGCTTGTGGCGAACATTGAAAACTTTAGCGTGAAAACGAGCGATAAATTTACTGTACATTTCTTATCGACTCCTCAACCTTTGAACCAGAGAAATTTATTAGCAATAATAGAAAGAAGTTTCACTCGTGATCAACCTGCCTTTATCTGTGGTTTTACTGGTGATTCAGTTTTGGCTATTTGTAGAGTGCCTGTGGTAAGCGAAACTTTTCCATTAATTATTGACTAAGTATTCTTTTAAGGAATCAGTCCAGGGTTTTTTTTTTCTTCTCCCTTTAGGCTTTATCGGCCATGGAACGAATGCTTTTTATGAGAAAAATAGGGTAGAGATTTCTGTTTGAAAAGGTCAATAATGGACCTTAGAGTTTTCGATGGGAAACATTCCCCTGTCTAAACGGAAAATTTGCTACTAACTTAGTTAATTTTGACGGCCTGAGTGGTAAATTACGTATCTCCATTTGGGACCTTGTAGACTTCCTGTCATACATAATGTTTTCTTTGGAAAGCTAGTTAAGGTAATTTCTCGAAAACTTTCTTGATTTTTCTTCTCTGTTCGCAGAATATTTTGTAAAAATTTCAAGTTAAAAAATTGACTTCTTTCTCCTGGTAAAAGTAAATCAGGAGCTGAAATTTTGAAACACCGCAATGGAGGTACCTATGTCGTTTCGTACATTGGCCATCGTTTTGAGTACCAGTAGAGGGCGTAAGCGTAAAGGTGGATTCAACCGGACAATTTCAAGCCCCAGAGTTGCTTTCTCTCAAAACTATGCTTTTTGAACTGCAGGTGTTATATTCATTATTTGAGTTGGCATTAATAGTAGTTTTTCATAAAAATTTATTTTTCTGACACACAGTGGCATTTATTTTTCAGTGGCACAAATTTATTAATTTTTAGTTTTCAAAGACCTAAGTCCCTTCATCCGCTATCAAACGCAAGTTTTGTAGCTTGGAATTTTAATATTTGCTTGTTCTTCTTTGTTGTTGTTTCATCATTTTTACTTTTAACTGATTTTTTCATAACGGATTAATTTGGTTTTCTTTTTTTTTCCTGAAGGCCTGTGTTTCTGAAAACTTCAATGCCAAAAAATGGATGGATGCTGCAGTAGAGACCTTCATTAAACAGAGCGCCAAACAAGATAACGAGAAAATTCCTTCAAGTCTTAAAAAAATCAGTGATGAAGTAATTCTCTTTGAGAAGTCAGTAAAATATTCAAAGCAAAAGAAAAGCGAAAATGCCAAGCTCATCGCTGAAAGTGCTGTAGCGAAGGCTGAAGAGATGTTCAGTTAATAGTGAAGGTGAGATTCGTCACAGTGAAGTACAAATATTCTTTTAAAAGTCTAGTTTTAGGCAAATTGGTTGTTGGAATATCACTGCAATGAGCTCTCTGCAACCCAATCTCGTTTGAAGTTCAACACATTCACTCATCGCTGTGACCAAAGCTGGACCGTATGGTTCAGCGTAATTGATGATGCAGTTTAGCCTGAAACTTGAATGGGCCACCAGATGCCCTTGAGAAATTGAGCACCACAATATCATTCAGTTTACAACATTCCGTGCTGAGGAAGAACGTTATATAAATATGCGAGAGTTGCTAAATTTCCCCAAATTAACGTGACTTTTTGAGGAAATTTATGAAAATTTTTTCATGAAATTTTCAGTTATGCATTTCATATCAAATTGTGAACAAAATTGCCCGAAAATTTGACCAAAAAATGTACTAAATTTTCCCAGCATATAATTTATTTGTTGTTGAAATTTCATGTCTTTAGGGATGCATGAAAATTTTCCAAATTTAACTTGCTAGTAAGAAAAAAACATTTTCCACGCTGGTCGATTTTTTAAACCTCTCGTTTGCCCAACAAACCAAAATCTACTAGATAAAAATCGGATACCGAACGGATTTTAGTATCAGTTACAACGGAATTTCTTCTGTGACAAGTTTTCATGCTAATTGCATTGAGAGGAGGGGTATACCAAAAATTCATCATTTGTCATTCAGACCAGACTGCTCTCAACCGTCAATTTTGGTTTTTTCACCAGAAAGAAATGGAATCAATTTATTTTATTGTAAACTGCAAACATTCCTTACTCCGCCATGAGATGATTTTGGAATTTTTTGATGTTTTGAATGTGTGTAACATGAAGTTTTGATGCAAAAAATATCTCATTCAGCACTTTTTTACCCTGACTCGTGAAGTTTGTGTCAACTATCTCAATTCAAAACGTTTCGATGATATATTTCGATGGGTGATCTAAGGAATTTTTAAAGTTTCTTGCAAGAAGAAATATTTGCTCTCTAAAAAGAGTGCTAAAATTGTTTTAAGGACACAATATTGAACAAAAGAAGGTTATACATTTGTTGTGTGTATTGGTAATGAACAAATAAAATAAATTTTAAAAAAGTGTTTATTTAGATTCGTATTTTTTCAACATTTCATCAATTTTTTCATGGTCTAACCTATGTTTGCAGACAAAAATACCATTCAGGAACAGAACAGGGATATCGTTTTTGTATAAGTCTAGCCATTTTGAGTTTTCTGGTGCTGCTATATTTACTTCGCGAAGAGCGCTAAATCTGTGATTAAATGACTTCTTTAATTCATCTTTCAGCACATCACACAGCGGACAAGGATATTTCGTATAAAGCGTTAAGACTGGTCCTTTAATTGGATCTCCTCTGGAAATTCAAAACGAGTACTTGAGAGAATGAAAAAACTGAGATGAAAATAAAGAAATTTTTATTTGTAGAACAATAGTACAAAAATATAAATAACATCTGCAGGTTACGAGACTTGAACAATTATGTAGATTAATAATATCAATAAAGTAACAGTGAAAGTAAAACCAATTATGGTGAGAGAGCAACAATGATTAAATTTTTTGAATGATCCCTGCCAGCAGATATTGTTACGAGTAGACATAAAAGCAAATGTAAAAGAAAACTGTCTAGTTACGTTGACTAGGATACCATTTTTTTTTCTTTACTCCCTTTTGAATGAAAATTTTGTGTTAAATTCTTAAAAAAAATAAATATACATATTTTTTTTGGCATTTGGCATTGGCATTACGGTTTTGTAAAATTCTAAAATCCATATAGGTCTACGGAGGAGACACCAAGTAGCAGTCTGAAATACGCAGCATATAAAACTTAAAAAGTTACTAAAATTAAAAAAAAAACTTGTCTAAATACAAAGTGGAATTTTTTAATCAAAACCCTTCCTCCTACCTAATTCATCTGGTAGGTACAACAATTATTTTTACTTTTACGAGTATGTTATTTTTAAGAATTTCAAATCTTGAACTAACAAACTTGTTTTTCATGATTCGATGCTGGTAGAAACAGATCGCCCAAAAATAACTCCGAGAGGAAGTAATATCAAGAAATTATATCATAATGCCGAAATTTACCAACTAATTCAGCGATTTCCACACCTTTTTCATAAGAAGTCCCAAAAACCATTTGAATATCCTTCATTTGTACTTGTCATCTATAAGATGGACGAAAAAAAAATGTCACATCCTGTCTGATGCCACCATTATCACTATCTTGAGAATCACATAAGCAGTCTTACAATTGTATACTTAATCTAAAAGTCTTAAAAACACTCCAATATAAAGGGCAATTTGTACTCACAATTTTTCAATGACTAAAGAAGTGCTGCCACCACCACCATTGCAAATACTTGCTACTCCCTTTTCGCCCTTTTTCAGGGAATGGCAAAGATGGACAATGAGTCTTGCCCCTGACATCCTAGATGGACAGAGAACAGATATTGTAAGTTTTAGATGTTAAGAAAAAAAAACAACCTAAAATAATAACAGAAGAGGACCAATATTCATTTGAAGCTCAAAGATCGGAAATGGAAATGATAAATCTGCATAATATCTGGCATTTTTACCTTAAAGCTGGTTCCATGTGAAATGCCCCATTTAGTCAGATTTTCTCTAAAATGCTCCACAAGAACTCTGGGCCACGTGACCAGCGAAGGAGGCATATCGGAACTGATCATCAAAAATGGTCAAAAACACGCGTTTCCCAGCTTTAGAAGCACTGAGGAGGTCGCAAAATTGATTCTACATCTCGAACTACATAGGATTCGACACTGATCTCAAAAAAAATTTCCATCCAAAATCAAGAAAAATCAACAGACTAAATTTTATGGACTGAATTTTCTGGGACAAAATAAAAAGTTCTTTGACGGTGCTGAAACCATGCTTAAAATGCTCAGAGAAGTCCGATTTTTTGTTCTAAAATGCTCTATGAGTTTGTTGGTTTCCATTTTAATTGTATCAACAAACCAGATTCAAATTTAGAGTTCAGCAACAGTCAAAAGCACCTTTTTTTCAGCGTAAAAAGCTCTACAGCTCCTGGTTCAATTGATTCCATATTTCAATTCATGTAGGACTTTCCATTGGCTTAATCTTAACTTGCGAAATATTGCTCAGATCGTGTCCTTTATATACTTCTATATTTTCGCACATTGGCCACTCCTTCGGGGACCTTTGTACTCGCACCTGTCATTTTTTAACCTTGAAGAGATCCGTAATATTCGTGACACTTACCCAATTGGGTGTCCCAGACTGACAGCTCCGCCATTGGGATTGACCGTATGCGGATCAAGGTTCAACTTTTTTATGGCGGCCAGGACGACAGCACTGAATGCTTCGTTGATTTCCCACTGGCTGATGTCATCTGTTTTTAAATTGTACTTGGCTAGGAGCTGAAAACATGAAAAAGGTTTCAATTAAATACATCATCATTAGAGCCTATCATTTGTGACCTACAGAGATCCTGCGCAGAAAATCAAGGGATTTTGTGGTGACTGAAATTCAATATTATTTGGGCTACATTTTGCAATCAGGAACTACAATTTCTGTCTCATTTTAAAAACAACAAATGTGCCATTAGTTTTTTTACGCAGATGGTAGTTTTTGCAGAGCCAGAAATTGTAGTTCTTAATTGCAAAATGAAGTCCATTTGATCTTATGTCCTGGAGACAATACGCCTTTGGAGTCTAACTTTCTAGGTGTCGATTTTGAGAAAAATAAGGGTGAGAAATCAATTTTTTAAATTGTTACAGTGTTCCTCAAGGAGATGTGGCACTGCCAAAGTGCCAGATAAGCAGAGCCTTTTAATTTGAAGCGATTGACATAGTGAACGCTCCATAGCTTTAAAAAAATGAAAATAAAAAAAAGAAAAGGAAAACAAAACTGTCTACAGGCCACGTTGCAGAGTTAAACATTAACAAAGATACCACCTTATGAAAAACTTGTTCAATGATACCATCAACTGCGGTAATGGATACCTTGCTTTTTTTTTTTTTTTTTTTTTTGTCTCATCAATCAAAATTTGCGCATTGAACAAAAAAAAATTGACTTCATTTCCTATGGTTTCCCAAAAAAGGTGAAATTTCCATCAACATTGAACAAAAGAACTTTTGAAGAGTTTTCTTTTATTGATCAGCAAATCTGCCGATGATATTCCATCCATCACCATTTAAGAACACAGCTGTCTCAGATCAGTCATTATTGATGTCATTATTGTTGATTTTGAAGCAGAGTTTTACCACTCCGGCAGTGGATTGTGCCTAAGAATCTTACAGTTTACATCAAATCAACTGCTGCACAGTAGAGCGAGTTGATGGGAGAGGTTGGACACAATAAATAAACGTTAAAAGCTCATATCTTCATTTAGTCTGAAACGCGGACGTTTAAAAGTGGCTCCATTGATTCTCTTATAAAACTCCTTTAAGAGGCAACACTTTAAATTTAAATTGTGAAAATAAACAGCAAAATTTCAAGTTTAAGTAAGAAATTCTATGTCTGGCCTCTTCCAATGGCTCGTTCCACTATGCAACGGTGGCTCTACCTCTCGTGATATCAGCACTAACCCATCAGTTTATGAACACAATTTGGTGATCGATGATGCTGCTGATCAAAAATTAATTCTTTTGGTTTGAACAGATCTTATTTTTTATCGCTGATCTTTAAGTTTCAACCATGATATCTGAAGAAATTTAACCATTACCTTGGGAATGCCTAAAGCTGGAGCGAGTGGAAAATCAATAGGGTCTGTTGCAGCATCAATGGCACCGATGATCCTCGCAATTGGTTCAGACCCTACCCCTTTGACTGCAGCCTCTGATGCTAGAACCACAGCTGCACCTCCATCATTCAACGTAGATGCATTGCCGGCTGTAATTGTCCCGTTTTCTTTCTGAAAACAAAGACTTCTTTTGTTAAAAAATTATGCCAAAATATTTGCGCATTAAATGTACTGAGTATAAATTGCAGTTATCATTCTCAAACTTCTCGCACCAATTGTTGGATACAAAGAAATTTTGGGAGACAAATGAACAGTGTAAGGTATTGAACAGCCTCAGGCAGACATGACAGATTCAGATAGTTCTTGTTGTCTCATGCCTGTGGTTCTCACTGTTTTTGAGAGCATTCAAACCTTTAATACTGTTGAATTTCAGTCCAGTTGGGGAAATTTTAGCTTTTATGAAGACAATTAAGAGTTTAGACCATGATCTCTATTAATGAAAAGAAAAACAAGATGGGCATCTGATATTAAATTAACCTGGGTTAGAAATTAATCGCACAACTTAGAGATTCTTTTACACTCTTCTACATTAATTCAGTCTGGTGCTGGCATTAGCTTTTAAATCTTTTACAATAAGTGCAAGTTATGTGTTTTAAAAAAGAGGATGATCAAAGAAAAAATTACTATTCCAGAGAGAGTGAAGCCATGAGTGCAGAGTGGACATTATCTTGGCTTTAAACTTCGTATGAGTGCATCAAGTTCAATGAAATCTAGTTTCTACAATCAAGAAATGAAATGATTACCAAAAATGCAGGCCGCAGTGAGGTAAACTTTTCAAAATTGATCTTCCGGTACTCTTCATCTTCAAATACTTCTTGTTTGCTTCCTGAAAAAATAAAGGAAAATTTTTAGTTTTTAATAGAATAAAAAAAGATTCCTCTTTAAGTTCATAAGTTTATGAACCACTGCGGAAGGTGCTGTCTGATAGCTGTTAAAACTTACACTTAAAACACTATGGCCATTTCAATTTACACCATCTTCAAGCACGAAAATGCTAGAAGTGCCCTTGCAGATTACGTCGTGTTTTGGGACGCTGATAATGGCCATTTATTTCGCTCTGGGCGATCAGTTGGTCGAGGCAAGATTGGGTCTTTTCCACTCATTCATTGGGATAGCAAGAAATTAAAAACATCTCAAAAACTAATTATTTTATAAAGTTATTGTACCTTTTTTTACAGGAACCTCTACAGGAGTTAATTCAGCTGAGATGCGACCACTACTGTAAGCTGCGGCAGACTTTTTGTAACTGTTAAGTGCATATTCATCCTGTTCCTCTCGAGAGATGCCAATTTTTTTCACTGTATTTTCGGCGCAGTTACCCATATGAATTTTGTTGTATACATCAGTCAGTCCATCGAAGACAATACCATCCTGGAAAGAAAATGAAGTCATGAGATTGAATTTGGCTAAAAAAGAAAATTTATACATAAGTCTGAAATTGGTTAAAAAAGTAAAAAAAATTAAGTAAATGATTAAATCAGTAGTGGCAATGGGTGCATGATGGAATTTGTCACAAAGCCCGGTTGGATTCAAATTAGACACACCCCCCTCCCAACTTGGAGAAAAGTGTTGTCTTACCTATATTCAAAAAAAATAAAGGAAGACTAAGATGATAAAACATTTAACAACAACGATTATTTTGAAAGATAGATGTGCCTTATTGTTATCCTTATTGTTCAGTTATCCATTTAACACTTCTTTGTTCATTCGCTTTTTTCTACTGTGAAAAAAACGATACATACTTGCAAGAGAACGCCTCCATAGGGTGTATCGCCTCTCCGTAGGTAGAAAGGCACATTAGACATGGATTCCATACCTCCAGCGACCACAATTTCATTTTGATTGAGTGTAATGGTCTGGGCTCCGATGGAAATGGCTTTCAAACCAGATGCACAAACTTTATTGACGGTGGTTGCCTCGGCAGAGGTGGGAATACCTGAAAAGATAGGAACATGATAGTTTCAACACAAAATGAAATTTTAAAACTCAAAGTCGAAACAACCATTTTTGCCACTTTAGATTTTACCTCGGTGATAACTACAATGACAGATGAAAAAAATAGTATATTACTAGAGCAATGAGACAATCTGTCTGCGGGCCGATTATTGAAATTTAAACCAGGCCAATAAGACATTGAATTGCGATATGCTGCACGGTTGAGATAGGGCTATGTCTTGTCGTGTCGGGCTGACATAGTTTCTATAATCGGGTCGCTGGACACTTGGGCCTAAATTCTGTTCCATGTGGGGATGCCAAGATTGCTGAGCCACATAACCAGCAGGTCATAGTTAGATTGTTTTTGAATGATGTGAAGGGTCTAAAAAATGTGAAATTTTTTATTCTTTATAAATTTGAAGCAATAGAATTTCGAGTAAATTTGCAGTTATTTGTGATAAACTGTTTGGTACAGTTGACTTATACACCAAGAAAGAAGAGTAAAATGTACTGTTTACAGTACACTGAGATGTGAAAGCTGGACGTATTTATGCTAAAAGGAACTACGTGGATGTGGAAGGATGGGGTGTGCTTGTGGAAGCTGCATTAGAAACAATGTAAAAGTGGATATAGTTCCTTTTGAGAAAATGAAAAAGCGGGATTTGACATTAAATCAAAAGGAACTGAGTGCTAACTCGAGAGCTGTGGGCATATGACAAGAGCGTTGTGGACAGGGCTTAGACTGACGACCTGGTCGTCGTCGCTCCTCTTGCGCCTCGTCACGCCCGGTCCTCACCGCTGACGTCACTAGCACTTTTAAAGTCCCATTCATTCTTATGGCCGGAGCACTAACGAGCACACCCCATCTTTCCACTTGTACATAGTTCCGTTTCGCATAAATAGATCCAACTGCTAATTGGTTCAACCTTATACTCTCAGTTGACTAGAAATTGTGTAAAAAATATTCCTAACTCAAGATTTCAGCGAGTTGAGCTTTCTTAACAAGAAATTCAGTCTACCCGTAAATTCTTGGTAGTGCAAACTATTGATTTGCCTGCAACTAACAAAGGTATACATAATAACTTCCCACAAAAGACAGTTCGTATGAATTCCTCATACAAGACATTTTACGCCTAATCACTTTGTGCGAAAAATTTACTCATCAGTTAGAAAAATATACGGAAAAAGAGGCAAAGAACTGCTTCTTACCTGCAAAGATGGCTGCTTGTCTAGCCGGTGCTTGCCCCAAGCCAGCTGAACAGACGTTACCCATGTACACATCGTCTACTTTGGTTGGACTTACTTTCGCTCTGTGCAAAGCTGCCTGAAAATTTTTTGGATAAAATGTAATTCTGTACACGCATATAATTGTATTCAGAATTTTCAGTTTAGAATCATTGCCTTCATTCAATTTAATGGAATTTAAAGCTGTAAAAAAGCTGTAAAGCATAAAACATGTAAAAAATAATTCCGAACGTTTCTAAAGTTGCTAAATTAAATGTCAAATTAAACTTTGCAATGTTGAAATGAATTGAGACCACTTAGTTCTCATCCTTTCAAATCAATTCTTCAAATTCAATTGAAAGAACTGTTCTCGACTACGAATAGTAAGCCAAGTAGGTACCTTCCATGTAAAAGCAAAAATACTTGGATTCTTATTTTCTTATCCTGAAACTGAGAAATTTTAAAAATTAATGTTGAAAATAATTCAAGCTCTTCACACAGCCCTTACTTGTATAGCTAGGGCACCAAGCTCTGTGGCCGACTTAGGTCCCAGGGCGCTACGGAATGATCCCATTGGGGTTCGAGCAGCAGCCAGAATGAATACATCTTGAATAGATAAACTTCTGCTGGTTGAAAATGATCTGAGCTGCCTAAAATTCATCTGGAAAAAAAGAGCAAGAACGGCCTTAGATGTTAAATGAATGATCCTGAACGTTACTCAGACTACATACTCAATATACCAACATAAATAACAAAGTTATGGGTCCGTTTACGTTTGAACCGTCATGACAGCGATGTAATACAATAATGTAACTGTTAAATCAGCCTATTCTTTAAAGAATGCTCTTGAAGTCAGTCAGCTTGTTTGTAGCCATAGAGTAGGTACATAGAGTTGTAATATAATGAAAAAGGCTGGGGTCGTGTTTTGGTAGATGAGTTCCGAGTCCGCCGTTGTGCGCCGAGATGCGGTCACCTTTTCAATACATTTTCGATCCAAATTGGCACACTTGCCCTCCATAACTAGCAATGAAATTCAGCTCTCTATGGAGCAGATAGGTTTCATCTTACAGATTAGGGTTAACGGCTTTTAGAATGATGAACAAGATGACAAGGAGAAGAGATGAGGCTGAGGCATACTTACTTTAAGATTATTGTAATACAGTTTCAATGTTATAATACAAACACTATCAGGTTAGTGAAAATATTAGCAAATCATTGCTACTTAGTACAAAATGTGGTTTTAATACTTATGATAAGAATATATTTCATAATCTTTATCACTGAGAAAAAACACCGTGTATGATGTAAACAAAAGTTTCTGTTGTAGTTGTCAAGTGGTTACAAATAATTATTACTTTCTGATCTGAAGTCCTTTAAAATCAGCAAATTTTTATATAGAATCTGACAATGTAGCATGATCATCCGTTCGACAACCAATTCGCCAATCAGATAAGAGATCTCAGCGCTGGGTTGAATTCAAAATTACCCGCGAAAAACGTTCATCCGCTCTTTACATTTTCTGCCCCACGAGGGTCAGTGAATCAGTGATTTATGAATCATAATAATTAATAATTAATGATTAAATTGGGAAGAGATTAATGTAGGTACTTAATCAGCTTAGCTATATTAGGTCCAGGATGCTCATAATTCTCTCTCATGTTTTTTTTTACTCAAAACTAAGCAGCATTTTACCATGAAATTTTGTGAGAACGTATATTTTTTATTTTACAGCGAATTTATAAAAATTTAATAGCATCACGTTTCATACTCAACTTTCAGTCAAAAATGTACTTAATCAGCTTAGCTATATTAGGTCCAGGATGCTCGTAATTCTCTCTCATGTTTTTTTTTACTCAAAACTAAGCAGCATTTTACAATGAAATTTTGTGAGAACGTATATTTTTAATTCTACAGTGAATTTATAAAAATTTAATAGCATCACGTTTCATACTCAACTTTCAGTCAAAAATCAAACTGAAGAGGAGTGAGGTAATAAGAATACTTAAAACTTTAAACATAGAAAATATGTGAGTCATGCGAAAGGAATGATAGATAGATATTGAAAGATGATTCGGATGGAGAAGCAAAGATATTTACCATCTTGTGAAATGTTTAAATTAAATTTGAAAAGAGAATGATTGATTGGCTTTGACCATACTCATTTGTATATTACTCGTTGCAAAACTTCCTCTCATGTTAAATTTTTTTTTCATACAAAACCAAGCTTTTTCTTAAAACTTTTGAGATAGTGTTCTTTTAAATAGAGAAAGAATTTATAATGTTTTCAAGTTTTTGGCACTTCTGGGTTTAAAAAAACATGGAAAATTGTTGGATTATTAAAAATGCAGGTGGGCAATTCCAGAGGTAGATTAGTCAAATTGTGTCTTGAGCTAAGTTACTCTTTGAACTTGACAATCATTTCACCAAACTCAGGCTACTCCTAATCTGTCCTTCTCTACGGATACTTGACATGATACTTGATAGTCCCTGACCTAATTCCTTGAGTAAATAATAATGACAAGAGTTGGTTCCATGAAATTTCGCTACAAAAATGTTATAGTATATTAACGGTGAAAGTTCAAAAGCACGTATCTCATCTGCAGTGTTTAAAAATCTCCGCTCCCATTTTACTTTTTTACAGATGCACGAATGAGCATCATTTCTTGAGGTTTTGACGGAATTTTCTTCGCTTGGAGAAGAAAAATTATGGCATTTTTTAAAAATAGCCGTTGAGTACTTTTCCATTTACAAATAAAACCTTGCAGGAGGTCTGCAACATTGCAAATTGAGATAAGTTGTTTGGGAGTCACCTCGAGTTGGGTTTCAACTCGAGTTTCACCGTCGATATTTTTTACTGAAGCAAAAGCTTGACTACGATGATTGTTGATAAAAACAGCATGAAAACAACAAATGTTTGAACGTTTATTAACAAAATTATACAGTTGCAAAATCCAGCACTACAAGGAATTAAAAGAGGAAATAGTTTATCAATCTGATTTCAAAAATACACTGTGATGAATACTACATGTGACGTACACTGAAATGAATACCATGATGAGTATCGATGATAGCAGTCAAAAAACATGTATGCTGATTCGCCTTGTTGGAGGTGTTTTGTTTCATTTAGCCTAATGAAAATTATTTTGTTCGTTTTTTCATAATGAAATTTTTTTCAAAGAATTTTTTCTTCATCCTCTGCAACATATGCTTAGAAGTTTTCAAATAGCAATGTTCATGAAACAACAGCGGAGATTCTGAAATGCTGTGATCAAGTTCTTAGTTTCTTAAATTTCCCCATTAATATACTGGGTTAAATACAACGCTGCTGATAAAATCTACTTTTACAAAATAGTTAAAAGAAAAATAGAAAAACAATAACTTACATCATAATTTTGTATTTGGTAGGACAAGAGATTAAGCATAAATACGTTTATAGTACAACTAAGTTCAAAAGCAAAACAATTAACGCAGGAGATTAAGATTTCTACAGACTTTAGGAAAAAAAAAAATATTAGAAATTTCAAGAAAATTGGAACACAGATTTTAGAAAATCGTCGTTTCAAAACAGGAAATTAACCTCAACCCGCTCAATTTTCCTTCCAAATTCATAATCCTCTAAAATCTGTGTTTCAAGAGTCTTAATACACACAAAATACTAGAAAAATGAAGAGAATAAATTCCAATTCTTCTTAAAAAATTTTTTGGTATCACCTTGTCTACCGGAGTGTTTTTGAGTCAATTTTATCACCTGACTTCCCCGAATCCTCCAAGTTTTATTGAAATTACAGTGAAAAAAATTATGTTACATAATTCCAAAAGCGTTATGGACATGTTTCTTAAGAACTTGTAAAGATAGACCAAGAGGGTAAATCAACTGTAGGGCATAATTTCCTTGACAGTAATGAGGGATTTGGACAACCGTAAATTGAGATTAGCATCCTTCTAGTGGTACTGTTGTTACGGGGCTTTAAAGGGAACACTCAGAAGTTTTGAAAAGGAACTTAAAACAAACAAAAATTATATAAATAGTGGTAGTTGTTAATCATTCGTAGAAATGGCTCAATTAAAAAGAGACGGAGGGAGCTCTAGTTCTGTATAGGAGGCACAGTTGGCAAGAATTTGACTGATATCACTGAGACCGTCATTTGAGTCTTCTCGGGGTGGAGGAACCTGAAACAAGCGAAACACGAACGTATGAGGCATAGAAGTTTTTTCCTCAACTTCATTATATCAAATTAGGGCAGCTTTCCTGTAGTTCCTATCTGTAGTTTTCGTTCATTTTATTTGAGTACGCGTTATCACCCGAGAATGTTCAAGCAAAAGGCAAATTGAGCATGATATTGTCTTCATTTATACGCAGTACATAATTTCTTTAGTCGCGTAAACAGCCCTAGCATAGGGCTATAAAAGATAAAATAGAGGGTCAAATGCAATGGAGCCAAGTTCAGCGGAAACGCACCAAATCGCATGAAGTTCAAAACGAGAAAAGAGGTTCGAAGTTTTACTGCTCCATAAGACTCAATATTGAGGACTAAGTTTAACAACTATTTTCATGTTTAAAATACTTTTCCTCGACTAAAAATTTTCGAGAATAGAAAATTTCCAGTTTGCCTGAATTCAAAACTACTCCCATCTCATTTTTTTCTGAAATATGACATGTTGCGTTTCTGTCAAAGTTAACGTAAATTATACGTTCAGATAATATTATCAAACTAGTTAATTTGACATTTTTTTATTTATATGATTTTAAGTTCTTTAGATCTAGCAATTTCTAGACTTTTTGAAATTTATGATCCACACAGGTTTTTATATAATTTTTTTTGTCAAGGTGATAGTAAAACATAACTGGCGGAGGAAAATTTTAAAGTACGAAACTTCCACCTTGAGAACTGTCTGGATACTTGCATTAGAGTGCTCTTGCTCTCCTTCCATAGAATTAAGTGTTTTCTTGATCTTTCCAGCCCAAAGACTTTCAGCTTTCTGAGACTAATGAGATCTTATAATCAGTGGCGGGATCAAAGCAGAGCATATCAATGGTGTAACTGCAAACACATGTATCTTGTTTGCAGCTAATAATCTAATTGGACTTATTTCAATTACTACAAAATTATCTCCATAGTAACGAAAGCCCTATTATTTCTGTATGCTTAAAAACCTTAAGGCCCAAGTCTCAATGGAGATAATTCTTTTTGAATTAAATCCGTCCAATTTACTAAATACTAGGTCATGATGTATTTTGTCCTTTTGATTTAAAGCTACCCTATCGATGACCTAAATATTCGGCCAGATTTTCTTTCGAAAACAGAAAAGGGTGGGTAAAATGTTGATGTGAAGAGGGTGACTAACCGGTAATTTTCTGGGACGCCCTGGGCCGCGACCAATGCGTGGAATTACTGGATAATTTAACAACTATGAAAGAAAAAAAGGAAAAAAATTAGAGAAGTATAGAACAAAATCTTTTTCGTCTGTGTGAAAAATATTCCGTGAAAATTTCGAGGGATAGTAATGACTCCATCTCCTTCCATAAAGTAGGAAGGAAGCGAAGATTTAGAAACTCAGTGTGCGAGATACGGTTTTTTGCAGTTTCGCCATCGATATGATTCAATGTAAGAGCAAAATATTTATGTGAAAAGAGTAACTATTTGGTACTTGCTAGGACCAGTGCGGAGAATTACAGGAGTATCCAATGACAATTTAAGAAAGAAAAATTAAAGAAGTATGAAAACAGCAAAAATATCAACAACATTGAACAAGACCACCCATGAAAAAGTATTTAAAAACCGAAACATTTATAATAGAGATATAGGTAGTGTAGATTTTGCGCATTTTGCAATTTAATTTCAACATTGATATGAGAGAATGCAAGAGGTAAATTGTTGATGTGAATATAGTAACTAACCGGTAATTTTCTAGGGCGCCCTGGACCAGGACCAGTGCGAGGGATTACTGGAGTACCCAATGACTATTTCGGAAAAAAAAGAAAGAAAAGTTACAGAAGTATCAAAACAGGAAAAATATCTACAACACTGGACAAGACCTCACATGAAAAAAAAACAAAAAAACAATTGAATACCGAAAAATTTAAAAGTGCAATAAGGGTGGGCATCACAGCTTAGAGGAGTGTTTTGCCAACACCATGGTACAGAGAAAAGCTTACCAGTTGAATCAAATAGTCAAATCGAGCCAGAACTAAGGGATATTGAATTTTTCAGTTTCAAAAATGCTGTTTTCAGCAAAAAATATCTGAGCGTTGACAATACTAAATCTCCTCTAAACAGTATTTGTTCAAAAGGCGTCAAAAAAGCACTTCAATTTACAAAATGTCAATAGTATTATTTTATTTTCTATGCAAAAAAAAGGGTATCTTACCACTTTCCTAGGACGGCCTCTCTTCCTTGGAACCAACTGTCCAGGGAGTGAGCCTGGAGCTTTTTGTACGATCTGTATTTGACCCTGCCAAGAACACAAATTAAAAAGCTTAGATGAAGCGACAACAAAATTGAACAATCAGTGCACACCAAAACAACTAATGTCTTGGTCTAACTGAGTTGACAGATTTAAAAATCATTACGTCAATGCTTTGCCTGCTCCAGAAAAAATAAAATTGTTAAAGACTCTAAATAAAGACAGACTACTTTTGCTTAGTGGTATTCGGAAGATTCTAATGCTGAGCAAATTCAGAATGAATTAAAACAGTTTGAATCCCATGTAGATTAAAAAATTATCACACTACAGATTTTCTGTTTTTAGAAGCATCGTGAAATTAGCCATTTCATTAGAAAAGACCTTTGGAAAAAAGAATATTTTAATATTTCTAGGACAAGAAATTTTCAGTTCAACAGTGCACCAGAGTAGAGTTCTCATAGTAACAACACTTTATACTTAAGATACAGTATCATAACAAGACAAGCAACTTGATAGCTCTGAACAATTTCAGAAAACAGAGAGATCTTGCATACCTTTAGAGATATGTCATGTTTCCGTGGACGTCCTCTTTTTCTTGGGAGTTGGTCTCCAAGCTGAACAAAAAATTTTGGCAGGCTTGATTTTTCTTCGATTATCTCTTCCTTGAACACCTACCAAGACAAAACGAAAAAGATGTTTTTGTATCGGATCACATCAAAAGATAATAACAGAGCAGACATTTTTTCCCCCACGATTTCTTTTTCCGTGATTTTTTTCCATTTCATAGATCCATATAAATTTTTTTTTTAAATCTGATATACCCACAGAAAGAGAATTTAAGTACACCACCTCCACACAAAAATCTTGACAATCCGAATTAGAGTCCACGCACAAATGGGTTGTTGCATTTTACGACAGCGACAAAGGATCCTTTATTATGATTTCTAGCACTTACTTTCCATGCTTAAATAACGTCAGACAATCCTCTAAAAGAGGTCGACCTAGTGCTGATAAGGAAAAGATCCCGATAATCAATAGAGAAAACGATATTTTGCATTGCCAAAAGATATTCATGAATAGAGCACATTACATGTTTGAAGGGATGAGTCTTTTTTTGAAAAACATGTTTCTCCATTTTGAAAATATTCCAAAATTTCGACCCAACACAGCCTGCCTGGATGTGTTAAGGGATGAATCTTCCTTTGAAAAACTTGTTTCTCTATCTTGAGAACGAAAATATCTCAAAATTTTGACTGAAAGCAGCTTGCCTTGACCTGTTATTCAATTGCGCACACATGTAACATTGATGTGGATGGTCCTAAGTCTAGACAACATCGCATTCGGATAATTGGGAGTTTTGTATACTTTATTTTCTTGTTATTGAGAAAATTTGAGATGAGCTAGAAACATACGTGTCGATGCACCTCCATTTGCATTGGTTGTTCATACTTCCACAAGTCCTTTGATCTGATCGGAGCTAGCCATCCGAGGAGTTTATTCTTACTCTCATCTCCTGAAAGAAAAAAATTAAAATCAGTTCAAAGAGGAAGTACGACCATGTGCCTATAAGATTAAAGCTAGTAGATAAAATGAGAATACTTGCAGACAAGACATCTTGTTCCAAGGAAAAATCGTTTAGATAGTCCATCTAATTGAGTAGCATTATGAGTTTTCATCATGATTACTTTTTTTCCGGTCGGAATACAAGTGCCAGACTAGTTTTTTTTTATTTTCACACCTGGAAAAAAATATATTGTATCAGAATTATAGTGGGTACCTTGGGTTGAAAACGTACAGATGTTGTGGAAGGAGAGACTAGGAGTAATAAAGTATGTAAAGATCTCGGCCCGGATCTGAAAGGATATTATTTAAGAAGTAATGGAAGACAAAAAAAAAACATACTGATGTAAAATAACATTTCTTGTTGTGTTCGATTAAAGCATGGTTATAAAGAAGTTAAAATCGTTGATGACTGAATAAAAAATATTAGGTTTTCAAAGTGAACTTGCTGTATACGCCTGGAAATAATCAACTGGAGAGAGAGAGAGGGAAAAAAATTAACAGAGAAAATTAACTTACCTTCAGGTAAAATCATATTATGGATATGCGCAATCTTCCAAATCAAGGAGGAAAAAAATTGAAGAAATTTTCAAAATACCTAGTTTTTTGAATAATTAATTTTAAAAAATAATGTATTCACAAAATAGTTTTTTTCTTTCAAAACAGTTTATTAGAAAGTTTCAGCATAAATTCTGAATATTTTCCCCCAATTAAACAGATTACGGTAAATAATAATTAAATTGCTCTTCTGGACAAGTTTACAAAAAACAAAAAATTCCGGAGGAAGACTTTTGATAGTGACATGACGAAATTGACACACAAGTGTGAAATGAAAAGTCGATTTGTTCATATATTAAAAGGATGGTAAAATCTTGATGAGAAAATGGTTTCAGCGATTCTTGTCATGTTTAAAGAACTGAGATTGTTTGATTAGTTAAAACTATTTTTCTTGGTTTTTTCATTTAATTTGATGTAAAAAATGCAAAAATAAATCAATAACATGGACCAAAATAGAAACTATTAATTGAACAAAACTAAATGCTTTACTATCATTCATGAAAATTAAATGTAACATAAAAACTATAGATGCACAGTACCGTTTGGTTCGAGTGTTAATAGGAGTATTATCTTCTAGAAGCTCATAGAAAAAGTATTCTCTACAGACAACAATTTGCTCCGTAAAAAATATTGAGGAAATACCGGGTGTCCGTAAAGTAACTGAAAAGTGAGTATAATTTTTGAACAAAAAAAGATAGAAGGTCGCGGTTTGTGGCATTCTTCATCATTCAGAGGGGGAAATTTTTCGATGGGGGGTTTTTCTTGGTGGACCCCCCCTGGGGGGCCCCAAGGGGGAGCAACTTTCAAAATTCAAATAGCAACCGCCATTTTTTTAGACATGGTTAAAAAGAGCTTAAAAAGACAAGAAAAATGACGCAAATAAAATTAAAATCGGTTCACTCGTTCAAAAGTTACAGCCGGTCAAAATTTTAAATTGACCACTTTTCAAAAAATCACCGTTGAGCTCCCAATTACCGAAAAAACAAAAACAAACCTGGAATGAAAAGTTTGAAAAGTGCCCTTTAAGGCAAGGAAAACCAACTGACGTTGTCACAAGTTTGGATGGCATTGTTTCGAAATAAAATTTCGGAAAATTCAACATGGCGGCAAATTTGAGGAAACGCGAATAATGAAAATTCCAGAAACTGTTATCTTTCAAATACCCTCTAGTTTAAGGAAATCAATGGTATCAACTTTTTTTCCTTTATTTGGCCAAGTAAGAGCAATAATTTGCTGACTTGAAAGTTGGCAAGCGGGACCCCTTCAATCCTTGGAGTATGCGACATCACATGCACAGGATTAAGTGTGCTGTCAAAAAATGAAGCCGATGTGAAAAAGCGCTCCTCCTTTGGGATGCTTTAGAAATGTTCAAGGTCCTCATCCTCAAAAAAGAAGAAAAGAGAAATTATGCAATTTTTACCCACAAACTTGGTGAGCCAAAAAAAACATGGTATATCCTGATGGGGTAGGGGCGGTTGACATTTTTGACATTTCTCTATCTGAAAATTGAAAACGCAAGAATAATTGTGATTCTCTAATTCCTGGCACTCCAAGTTGGCAAGAAGGATATCTGCTACGCTTTCAATTCCGAAAACGCCGTTCTACTCTTGATTATTATCTGAGTTGAGATTATCTTATTGACAGCCTCAACCTCACGATTTGAGGAACCGATATTTTAGGTAATATCTGATGCAATATCTGATCGGTAACACTATTTACGAATCTGAAATCAGTATGCTAAGTTCTCTTAATCATACTGCGTTCTGATTTAGTTGGCAATTACTATTGTAAATTTACTATTGTTTGCAGCAAAATGAAGATCACTTTGAACATTTGACGGAATAACAGAGCATCAGGTATAAGAACTTCCACTTTAAAAAATAATATTAATAAAACAATTGCTCAATTTTTCTTTTCTTCTTTTTTGAGGATGAGGACCTTGAACATTACTAAAGCATCCCAAAGGAGGAGCGCTGTTTCACATCGGCTTCATTTTTTGACAGCACACTTAATCCTGTGCATGTGATGTCGCATACTCCAAGGATTGAAGGGGTCCCGCTTGCCAACTTTCAAGTCAGCAAATTATTGCTCTTACTTGGCCAAATAAAGGAAAAAAAGTTGATACCATTGATTTCCTTAAACTAGAGGGTATTTGAAAGATAACAGTTTCTGGAATTTTCATTATTCGCGTTTCCTCAAATTTGCCGCCATGTTGAATTTTCCGAAATTTTATTTCGAAACAATGCCATCCAAACTTGTGACAACGTCAGTTGGTTTTCCTTGCCTTAAAGGGCACTTTTCAAACTTTTCATTCCAGGTTTGTTTTTGTTTTTTCGGTAATTGGGAGCTCAACGGTGATTTTTTGAAAAGTGGTCAATTTAAAATTTTGACCGGCTGTAACTTTTGAACGAGTGAACCGATTTTAATTTTATTTGCGTCATTTTTCTTGTCTTTTTAAGCTCTTTTTAACCATGTCTAAAAAAATGGCGGTTGCTATTTGAATTTTGAAAGTTGCCCCCCCTTGGGGCCTCCCAGGGGGGGTCCACCAAGAAAAACCCCCCATCGAAAAATTTCCCCCTCTGGATGATGAAGAATGCCACAAACCGCAACCTTCTATCTTTTTTTGTTCAAAAATTATACCCACTTTTCAGTTACTTTATGGACACCCGGTATAATTGAAAACTACAGGGTAAGTTAGACACTTGAAAATGTTTTGTCAAAGACATTAAATTCTAAAAGTGACTTTGACTTTAATTAATGATATGTAATAATGTTAATGAAAATGACTTAAATAAAAAAGATTGATAAGCTGAGTTTCTTTTCAAGTATATCATGATCATATTCATCTGATGCATTTGGAAACTCAAGATGTAATCAAAGACACAAGCAATAGTTTTCATTGGCTGAAAAAACTGTTAACCGTCTGAATCAAAGTCCAGTTTAACAAACATTTAATAATAAAAATATTCTTAAGCGTCTTGACAAAATATGAGAGGATTGAAAAATTGAAATACAAAAATTATTTTTTAGGAGATCCATATACTATTCTGCCATCATGAGCTTCATTCCAAAATGTTTGAGAATGTTCCTGATATGAACCTTTCAGGAAAAAAAATAATGAAAAGGTCATTCCTGAAAAAACGCTGAGTGACGTATCAAGGTAATTTGCACGTGATTGCAGAAGCCTATACTCCAATACTAGATTTGGAGGTGAAGCGTGCAGCACGCAGTTTGAAATACCATGCATTCCAATGGAAGGGTACACACTTTTTGAAGCAGATTTTTAAAAATTTAATGAATTGCAATGAGAATAAAAAATTATCATATTAGATACACTCTTAAACAATGTTACGAGGTTTTGACTTTTCAATCCTGCAGTTTTGAGGTGAAAATGCCTACACCCCAATAATAGGAGGAGAGAACGAGAGAGGATGCAACACCTGTGCGTTATTGGCTTTATGTGTCACCCGTAGGGAGAAGGGTTTCAGAGTATCCACTCTGATACAGAGACCATGTTTCCAACAGCTTTAACCAGAATTGGACCTACAAATTCTGGCTCATCTGAAAAAACACTAATGTGCATAGGGAAACTAATGGCACATACGTTGTTTTTAAACCGGGCCGGAATTTATAGGTCCAAATTGCATAATGCAGTCCAATTAGCTTCCCTGCATTAGACCTTGCCTAATTTCCTATCATGTATTGTTTTCTTAACAGAAAACTATGCTACATGCTATCTTGAAATTGTGTGACTACGTTCTGGACAATCTGAGGAAAATTCACAAAAGCTTTAAGGCACTATGTTGCTTAGTTTTTGGCATAAAAAATATAATGTTGAAAAAACTAGGCAAAGTCAAAAGCACTTAAGTTATTTCGGAACAGAGCTGTCCATTTGACCGAGAGATTCAGTTTCTCACAGCTCTTTAGATAATACTCCATGAAGCGCTTGAACATCATAGGCTCTGCCACAGTCTATCATTATCAAGAGCTGATGATGAAAAAAGATTCTAACAATCGTAACACTTGAATTGGCAGAGTTTAGAGCTAATGCCCTATGAAATTTCAGGTCCAATTTCTTGACATATCGACGGTGAAAGTCGGCAATCACATAACTCGGTTTGCGACGTCGCAGACTTCCTGTCATACTTTATTTTTTAAATGGAAAACTACTCAACGGCAATTCTTTAAAACTGTCATGATTTTTCTTCTCAATGCGAAGAATATTCTGCAAAAACTTCAAGAAATAATATCAATTTGTTCTCCTTTAAAAAAATGACGTAGAGGCAGAGATTTTCAGACACCGCAAACGAGTTATGTGATTGCCGACTTTCACCGTCGATATGCAGAGTTGACATAAAAATAACAGTCATCACAACCACTTCAGATCTGCTACCAATGCTAAATGGTCTGAAGGAAAAACAACATTGGGAATGGCAGTATAAAGCGTGACCTCTTCTTTTGAAGGCATCGGGATCACCTGGAAAATTAGATAAATTTTATATTAATAAACAGGGGAAATCTATTCATATTAGGCCTTTTGAGAGAGGACTTATCTGTTTTATGGATGCTTTACTTAAACATTGCTGCCTGAGAGCTGGGTTTGGGATGACTGTAGGCTTTAGCCTTGTTGTAAATTGAGGAAACATTAAGTAGCTAACAATGAGACAAAAGTCTAGGGCAGATTGAAGTTTTTTCCTTAGAAATTCGTAAAAATAGGTCCTAGCAGCTGAACAATACAAGAGCAAGAAGTTCATTTGAAGGATTTGTGTACAGAAAAGGGTTAACAAATTTAATGGCTTCGAAATTGAATAGAGTTTGGGATGGTTTTTGCAAAAAGTCCTTATTTTCTGTAGTGCCAGCAATTCTATCTTTTTGTGGTACTGTGGAGGTTCCATATCAAAAGGTACAAACGGCAACTGTCGAAACTTTTCATTATTTTCCTTACATCCATTTTCCATTTCATACAGGTTTATTTTTCGATCTCAAATCTTCTTTACATCCTATCATTCAGTTCATCTCCATTACTTTTTATTACTAAACTTGCAACTGATAGCTACATACATTATAGCCAGCCAATCACGCATAGACTTGTTGTCTCGCCACCCGTGACATCAGCAAGTCTATATAAGCATGCCCTGCGCCTAAATCTAAGTCTTTTCCCATCTTTCAGACTCTAGACCAAAGCTTCTCAAAGGTCTTCTTCCATCCCTCAGACCCGTGGAACGTACACCTTCTCTCAACGTTTTTCGATCAAAGGTCCTCTCTCATTTCTCAGTTTCAAGTGACCATTTTAGTTCCTTCTCATCGAGTGTTTTTCATTCTCAACACTTAAAAGTGCATCGCATCTCTCTCAAACTCATTTCGTCAACTTTCTTCTTCTTCTTCTTCTTCTGATGATTTATTGGCTTATATTCCAAGGGAGGAACCTACAGCCATCTATAGACAGGGTAACAAATTAGAATTTAATGAACATGAATGGGAAAGGAGGTTAATAGAAAGGTAAGATATTTAGTTAATTCTAACATCACCATCTTCACGCTTAGAGACCCTTCTAAGCGACTCCTATACCAGGGAAAACTGGGCCCTGGATAACATACAAAGTGAACATATGGAGGTATGATTGGGACTGTGGATATGGTGGGAAATGGAGATTAACTCCTACAAAATAACTAATATAGTTGATTGATACTTAAAAACTGGTTATTTATTTTTTTTTTATTTTATTTATTTTTTTTACTTTTTTTTTTTTTTTTTTATTATCTTTTAAGAAATTAGCGATGATTTTATATATCTTGGGATCCGGAGTGTGGAGAATATATGAGACGTTAAATGGAGGGGAGTAGTTATTTTCGATTAGCTTTTGGATCAGAATATCTCGATTTATTAGATTTTGGCATTCAAATAGTATATGGTTTAAGTCACCATATAGTCCGCAATCGCAAAGGTCTGAGTCTTTTAGATTTAGTCTATTTAAATGTGATGGAAAATTTCCATGACCTATTCGAAGTCTAATTAAGTTTTTTATTTCACTACGATTCCATTTTAGTTTATCAAACCAAGGTTTTCGATTAATTTTTGGGCAGATTGATTTTAGCTTCTGTCCCTTCCATTTCGTCAACTTTTCATCTGCTTTTGTTCTTCGTATTTTGTGCAACATTTCCATGAATTTTCGGATTAATACAGTTATAAACTTACCTCAAAGAGCGTCGCCAAGAATGGCACAATTTGGGCCGGCGGGGATTTTTCTGAAACCGGGCCCAAACGATACCTTATGATACCCTATAGCTCTGGTTAAAATTTTAGCTTGAGTATACGCACGGTTTTTGAGAAATGAGGGGGCAAAGTTGCCAAATCACCATCATTCTGAACAGCATTTCTACAGCAAAAAGACGGGAAAAATGGACGAAAAAGTTACACATTTGATGGGTTTCGGCTGTAAATGTTCTTATTGGGCCCCCAAGCATTTAACTGTGTTCAGTTTCTTGGCAGGGTCAAATACAGATCGTACAAAAAGCTCCAGGCTCACTCCCTGGACAGTTGGTTCCAAGGAAGAGAGAACATATTGAAGGGCTTTCTTTAGATTAACCGTTCCCTTTTGGCAGTGCTTGTGGAACCCCAGAATTCACTAACTTCACTGTCGGATTCGTGGGATACCTTGATTACATCTTCTACCAAACGGATCATCTCGCTGTTGAACAGATAAAAGCTCTTCTACTTTAAATATTGGAAATTACACTGAATACTTAATTAATGGGGGAAATTAACTATTAAAGAATTGAAAAGGCGGGTTGCTGTAATGAATAAGAGTCGGTTTTCACCGTACCACCATGCAATAAATAAGAGTCAATTGAAAACTTACCTTATTCTCATTAGTGATGTGATAGTAATAAAGTTCAAAGATAATAACCGTTTCGGAACCAGCTGATCTTTGTTAATGTAGGATCAACAAACTACAAGAAAAAGTTACACATTTGATGGGTTTCGGCTGTAAATGTTCTTATTGGGCCCCCAAGCATTTGACTGTGTTCAGTTTCAAAAATTTTGGTGGCCCGGTGGTCCAAAATTGGGGAGAAATCGTCGACAAATCAGGATTCTTTGTCAAATTTTTAAAAATGGAAATAAAATTGTCGGTCTGCTGCAGTTTTCATGGCTAACAATGTTCTTATCGGTCCTCAATGCATGAAATTGTGTTCAGCTTCACAAATTTACATCCCACAGTGGTCAAAAATGGGGGAATTAGTGGACGAATTAAGATCCTCTGTGAAACTTTTTATAAATGAAGTGAAACTGTTGGTCCCCTGTAGAGTTTGGATTCCGGAAAAATTCATGTATTTAATTTTTTTAATTATTACAAGTCAGACCGTATTGTTTACAGAACGTTGTTATAGAATAGACTTTGTAGCATTATCTCAATAAAATTTGCAAACTTTTAGAAATTTAAAAAAAGAAGGAAAAGTGGAGAGAGAAAATTACAAAAAGATTTAAACAGTCCAAAAAAGAATTTAAAGAATTTTTCCGGGATCTAAACTCTACTGGGGACCAACAGTTTCACTTCATTTTTAAAAAGTTTCACAGAGGATCTTAATCGTCCACTAATTCCCCCATTTTTGACCACTGTGGGATGTAAATTTGTGAAGCTGAACACAATTTCATGCATTGAGGACCGATAAGAACATTGTTAGCCATGAAAACTGAAGCAGACCGACAATTTTATTTCCATTTTTAAAAATTTGACAAAGAATCCTGATTTGTCGACGATTTCTCCCCAATTTTGGACCACCGGGCCACCAAAATTTTTGAAACTGAACACAGTCAAATGCTTGGGGGCCCAATAAGAACATTTACAGCCGAAACCCATCAAATGTGTAACTTTTTCTTGTAGTTTGTTGATCCTACATTAACAAAGATCAGCTGGTTCCGAAACGGTTATTATCTTTGAACTTTATTACTATCACATCACTAATGAGAATAAGGTAAGTTTTCAATTGACTCTTATTTATTGCATGGTGGTACGGTGAAAACCGACTCTTATTCATTACAGCAACCCGCCTTTTCAATTCTTTAATAGTTAATTTCCCCCATTAATTAAGTATTCAGTGTAATTTCCAATATTTAAAGTAGAAGAGCATTTACTTGTTCAACAGCAAGATGATCCGTTTGGTAGAAGATGTAATCAAGGCATCCCACGAATCCGACAGTGAAGTTAGTGAATTCTGGAGTTCCACAAGCACCGCCAAAAGGGAACGGTTAATCTAAAGAAAGCCCTTCAATATGTTCTCTCTTCCTTGGAACCAACTGTCCAGGGAGTGAGCCTGGAGCTTTTTGTACGATCTGTATTTGACCCAGCAAAGAACACAAATTATAAAGCTTAGATGAAGCAACAACAAAATTGAACAATGGGTATACAGTGAAACAACTAATGTTTTGGTCTGAGTTGACAGATTTAAAAATCATTACGTCAATGCTTTGCTTTTGAAATGCTTTTGCCTCAAAAACAACATTGGGAATGGCAGTATAAAGCGTGAACTCTTCTTTTGAGGGCATCGGGATCACCTGGGAAATGAGATAAATTTCATATTATTAAACAGGGGAAATCTATTTATATTAGGTCTTTTGAGAAAGGACTTATATGCTTTATCGATGCTTAACATAAAAATTGCTGCATGAGAGCTGGGTTTGGGATGACTGTAGGCTTTAGCCTTGTTGTAAATTGAGGAACCATTAAGTAGCTAACAATGAGACAAAAGTCTAGGGCAGATTGAAGTTTTTTCCTTAGAAATTCGTAAAAATAGGTCCATTCAGCTGAGCAATACAAGAGCAAGAAGTTCATTTGAAGAATATGTGTATAGAAAAGGGTTAACAATTTTAATGGCTTCGAAATTGAATAGAGTTTGGGATGGTTTTTGCAAAAAGTCCTCATTTTCTGTGGTGTCAGCAATTCTGTCTGTTTGTGGTGCTGAAGGGGGAGGGGGGAATCTCATTTCAAAAGGTACAAATGGCAACCCGCCTTATCAATTCTTTGATAGTTAATTTCTGCTATGAATTAAGTATAATTCAGGGTACTTTATTTCCAATATTTAAAGTAGAAGAGCTTTTATCTGTTCAACAGCGAGATGATCCATTTGGTAGAAGATGTAATCAAGGTATCCCACGAATCCGACAGTGAAGTTAGTGAATTCTGGGGTTCCACAAGCACTGCCAAAAGGGAACGGTTAATCTAAAGAAAGCCCTTCAATATGTTCTCTCTTCCTTGGAACCAACTGTCCAGGGAGTGAGCCTGGAGCTTTTTGTACTATCTGTATTTGACCCTGCCAAGAACACAAATTAAAAAGCTTAGATGAAGCGACAACAAAATTGAACAATAGGTATACAGCGAAACAACTAATGTTTTGGTCTGAGTTGACAGATTTAAAAATCATTACATCAATGCTTTGCCTGCTCCAGGAAAAATAAAATTGTTAAAATCTCTATTTAGAGACTGACCTCTTTTGCTTAGTGGTATTCGGAAGATTCTCATACTGAGCAAATTCAGAATGAATTAAAACAGTTTGAATTCCATTGTAGATAGAAAAATTATTACACTACAGATTTACTGTTTTTAGAAGCATCATGAAACTAGCCATATCATTAGACAAGACCTGTGTAAAAACGAATATTTAAATATTTCTTAGGACAAGAAATCTGCTAAATCTGCTATACCTACAGAAAGAGAATTTAAGTACACCACCTCTGCACAAAAATCTTGACAATCCGAATCAGAGTCCACGCACAAATGGGTTTTTGCATTTTACGACAGCGACAAAGGATCCTTTATTATGGTTTCTAACACTTACTTTCCATGCTTAAATAACGTCAGACAATCCTCTGTCCCAATCTAAAAGTGTGTAGACATATTTTGCGTGGACTCTAAAAGAGGTCGAACTAATGCTGATAGGGAAAAGATCCGGATAATCAATGGAGGAAACGATATTTTGCATTGCCAAAAGATATTCATGAATAGAGCACATTACATGTTTGAAGGGATGAGTCTTTTTTTGAAAAACATTTTTCTCCATTTTGAAAATATTCCAAAATGTCGACCAAAGTCAGCCTGCCTGGATGTGTTAAGGGATGAATCTTCCTTTGAAAAACTTGTTTCTCTATCTTGAGAACGAAAATATCCCAAAATTTCAACTGAAAGCAGCTTGCCTTGACCTGCTATTCAATTGCGCACACATGTAACATTGATGTGGATGGTTCTAAGTCTAGACAACATCGCATTCGGATAATTGGGAGTTTTGCATATTTTATTTTCTTGTTATTGAGAAAATTTGAGATGAGCTAAAAACATACGTGTCGATGCACCTCCATTTGCATTGGTTGTTCATACTTCCACAAGTCCTTTGATCTGATCGGAGCTAGCCATCCGAGGAGTTTATTCTTACTCTCATCTCCTGGAAGAAAAAAATTAAAATCAGTTCAAATAGGAAGTACGACAATGTACCTATAAGATTAAAGCTAGTAGATAAAATGAGAATACTTGCAGACAAGACATGTCGTTCCAAGGAAAAATTGTTTTGATGGTCCATCTAATTGAGTAGCATTATGAGTTTCCATCATGATTACTTTTTTTCCCGTCAGAATACAAGTACCAGACTAGTTTTTTTTTATTTTCACACCTGGAAAAAAAGATATTGTATCAGAATTATAGTTGGTATCTTGGGTTGAAAAGGTACAGATGTTGTGCAAGGAGAGATTTGTAGAAATAAAGTATGTAAAGATCTAGGCTCAGATCTGAAAGGATATTATTTAAGCAGTAATAAAAGACAAACAAAAAACATACTGATGTAAAATAACATTTTTTGTTGTGTTCGATTAAAGCATGGTTATAAAGAAGTTAAAATCGTTGATGACTGAATAAAAAATATTACTAAGGTTTTCAAAGTAGACTTGCTGTACGCTTGGGAAAAATCAACTGGAGAGAGAGAGAGAGGGAAAAAAATTAACAGAGAAAATTAACTTACCTTCAGGTAAAATCATATTATGGATATGCGCAATCTTCCAAATCAACGAGGAAAAAAATTGAAGAAATTTTCAAAATAGTTTTTTGAATAATTACTTTTAAAAAATAATGTATTCACAAAATAGTTTTTTTCTTTCAAAACAGTTTATTAGAAAGTTTCAGCATAAATTCTGAATATTTTCCCCCAATTAAACAGATTACGGTAAATAATAATTAAATTGCTCTTCTGGGCAAGTTTACAAAAAACAAAAAATTCCGGAGGAAGACTTTTGATTGTGACATGACGAAATTGACACACAAGTGTGAAATGAAAAGTCGATTTGTTCATATATTAAAAGGATGGTAAAATCTTTGTGAGAAAATGGTTTCAGCGATTCTTGTCATGTTTGAAGAACTGAGATTGTTTGATTAGTTAAAACTATTTTTCTTGGTTTTTTCATTTAATTTGATGTTAAAAAATGCAAAAATAAATCAATAACATGGACCAAAATAGAAACTATTANTTTAAGCTCTTTTTAACCATGTCTAAAAAAATGGCGGTTGCTATTTGAATTTTGAAAGTTGCCCCCCCTTGGGGCCTCCCAGGGGGGGTCCACCAAGAAAAACCCCCCATCGAAAAATTTCCCCCTCTGGATGATGAAGAATGCCACAAACCGCAACCTTCTATCTTTTTTTGTTCAAAAATTATACCCACTTTTCAGTTACTTTATGGACACCCGGTATAATTGAAAACTACAGGGTAAGTTAGACACTTGAAAATGTTTTGTCAAAGACATTAAATTCTAAAAGTGACTTTGACTTTAATTAATGATATGTAATAATGTTAATGAAAATGACTTAAATAAAAAAGATTGATAAGCTGAGTTTCTTTTCAAGTATATCATGATCAAATTCATCTGATGCATTTGGAAACTCAAGATGTAATCAAAGACACAAGCAATTGTTTCATTGGCTGAAAAAACTGTTAACCGTCTGAATCAAAGTCCAGTTTAACAAACATTTAATAATAAAAATATTCTTAAGCGTCTTGACAAAATATGAGAGGATTGAAAAATTGAAATACAAAAATTATTTTTTAGGAGATCCATATACTATTCTGCCATCATGGGCTTCATTCCAAAATGTTTGAGAATGTTCCTGATATGAACCTTTTAGGAAAAAAAATAATTAAAAGATCATTCCTGAAAAAACGCTGAATGACGTATTACGGTAATTTGCACATGAGTGCAGAAGCCGATACTCCAATACTAGATTTGGAGGTGAAGCGTGCAGCACGCAGTTTGAAATACCATGCATTCCAATGAAAGGGTACACACTTTTTGAAGCAGATTTTTAAAAATTTAATGAATTGCAATGAGAATAAAAAATTATCATATTAGATACACTCTTAAACAATGTTACGAGGTCTTGACTTTTCAATCCTGCAGTTTTGAGGTGAAAATGCCTACACCCCAATAATAGGAGGAGAGAACGAGAGAGGATGCAACACCTGTGCGTTATTGGCTTTTTGTGTCACCCGTAGGGAGAAGGGTTTCAGAGTATCCACTCTGATACAGAGACCATGTTTCCAACAGCTTTAACCAGAATTAGCTTCCCCGCATTAGACCTTGCCTAATTTCCAATCATGTATTATTTTCTTAACAGAAAACTATGCTACATACTATCTTGAAATTGTGTGACTACGTTCTGGATAATTTGAGGAAAATTCACGTAAGCTTCAAGGCACTACGATGCTTAGTTTTTGGCATAAAAAATATGATGTCGAGAAAACTAGGCAAAGTCAAAAGCACTTAGGTTAATTGGGATCAAAGTTGTCTTTTGGACCGAGAGACTCAGCTTCTCATAGCTCTTTAGATAATACTCCATGAAGCGCTTAAACATCTTGGGCTCTCCAATAGTCTATCATTATCAAGAGCTGATGATGAAAAAAGATGCTAACAATCGTAACATTCGAATTGGCAGAGTTTAGAGCTAATGCCCTATGAAATTTCAGGTCCAATTTCTGGACATGTGCTGAGTTGACATAGAAATAACAGTCATCACAACCACTTCAGATCTGCTACCAATGCTAAATGGTCTGAAGGAAAAACAACACTGGGAATGGCAGTATAAAGCGTGACTTCTTCTTTTGAAGGCATCGGGATCACCTGGAAAATTGGATAAATTTCATATTAATAAACGGGGGAAATCTATTCATATTAGGCCTTTTGAGAGAGACTTATCTGTTTTATGGATGCTTTACTTAAACATTGCTGCCTGAGAGCTGGGTTTGGGATGACTGTAGGCTTTACCCTTGTTGTAAATTGAAGGAACATTAACTATTAAGTAGCTAACAATGAGACAAAAGTCTATGGCAGATTGAAGTTTTTTCCTTGGAAATTCGTAAAAATAGGTCCATTCAGCTGAACAATACAAGAGGGAGAAGTTCATTTGAAAGATCTGTGTATAGAAAAGGGTTAAAAAATTTAATGGCTTCGAAATTGGATAGAGTTTGGGATGGTTTTTGCAAAAATTCCTAATTTTCTGTGGTGTCAGCAATTCTGTCTTTTTGTGGTACTGGGGAGGTAGGGGAGGTTCCATTTCAAAAGATACAAACGGCAACTTGCCTTTTCAATTCTTCCATAGTTAATTTCCGCTATGAATTAAGTATAATTCGAGGTAATTTCCAATATTTAAAGTAGAAGAGCGTTTACCTGTTCGACAGCAAGAAGATCCGTTTGGTAGAAAATGTAATCAAGGCATCCCACAAAGCCGACAGTGAAGTTGGTGAATTCTGGCGTTCCACAAGCACTGGCAAAAGGGAACGGTTGCTCTAAAGAAAGCCCTTCAATATGTTCTCCTTCTTCTGTATGGAAAATAAAAGAAGTAAAGGGAAAATCTGATGAAAAGGTTCAGAGCTGTAAAATATTCTTGGGCAATGATAGTCATGAATGGGTGAAGATGAGTAAAATTCAATGAAATAATTGCTCATGTGCTATACTCATACTTTTATCCAAGACTAAACCGGCAACATCCACATCCTATTAAAAGACACATTTACTCTTTTTACAAATGCAACATTTGTAATTAAGTATGAACACACTGTCTTCAGGTGTTTTACACACAAAGGCCGAACTGCCTGAAGAGCTTTTATTTGGCTCTTAAACCATTTTCAAAGGCAAATTTCCAAATGTATCTGTCTCAGCCACAAAAAAATAAACTGGCATTTCAAGGACTGTGATTAATGAGAGGGAAAGAGAAGCCAATGGGGTATGTTTTTTAAATTTCTACCCTTTGAATGGCAGAGAAGGACATTTGACCGGAAGAATCTCATTTTCAGAGACAGCAGAGAAAATGATTTCGGCATGTAATATGTTTTCTTGTGTATTTTAGGCTCCTGAATTGGGAAATGACCTTGGTTTTCCTTCTTTCATGCAAAAATGTCCCAGCAACTTGAATTTTCCTCGAAAATGTCTGGTTTTTGTGAAATGTTTTGATTTTCTGGAGAAATGGTAAGGACAGGGAAAAACGAAGGTCATTTTCAGACCAGCACTAAAATTTATACAAGAAGTAATCATCTAAACCCTGGCGTTTTTTTCCGGAACAGACCTGTTTCATTT